TTGATTCCAGCCTTTGGCATCTACAGCATGCTTGAAAAGGCAAATAAAGCCATTTGGCAAGAGCTGATTTCTTGTCATTTCAAAAATATACAGACTGCGTGCGGCACGCCTGCTGGTTTTTTTCCGTTTCATCCAAAGCCTCTTACAGCTCCATGGCCGCACACGTGTGCGTTTGGGTAGCAGTCGAGCCCAGCGCCCGCCGGGGCGGCAAACTCCACCCTCTTAACGCCACCCTCGGCCATTTGTTGCACACGGGACCATATCATTCCCTTTTCACCCTGGCAGGCAGTAAGCGGCCTTCCCCCGGTAAGCTCCGGTGTTACGCGGGGGCAGGCTGGCAGACAGCGGCGGCGCGGCTGTAATAAGACCTGCGGCCGGCACCACTGCCAAGGCTCGTCGAGGCAGGGTGAGAGATGGTGCCCATCCCCTACATTACCCCGCTCCACCATCTGTCACTGGGCAGGAGTGGTGCCGAGGGAGGAGCCTGAGTCACTCTGGCTGTTGTCACCTAGACGGGGCCGGCCGGGACATGCTGCTTCTTTGTACTCCTTTCAGACACTGACTCCATTCACTCTGAGGTCACAAAGCTGTTATGCTGATTAGCAAACATTCCTTTTTTTTTAGCTATCGCTAGGCTTTTTTGTGCTGCATCCCAGAGATATATTTTTGATCCACGAATTGGTTATTTCCTCAAAAAAGTGGGGAAACGAAACGGGGCTCTGCCAATCGGCTGCTCAGCAAAGTCCCCAAAGCAGCGGTGAATCACGGTGGCAGAAAGCGCCTGTCTCTTTAAATGTTCTCCGAGCTGATGTTTGACTCTGGACAAAGGTTGTCACTTAATTTTTGCCAAGACGCCTAGTTATGTCATTTCCTGGCTGTTGGTGTGCAGGCAGGAGGGGGTGGAGGAGAAAAGGGGTCAAGTGAGCTCGTGCGTGCACTCTGCTGTAAGTAACCAAGATGAGCTTAGCACAGGGCTCGCTGCCATCAAACATCCACATTCATATGCACATGCCGTGCCTATAAAAGATGAACATATTCAGATAAGGCCAGATGAAAATTCAGAGCGTGCTTTGAGACATCAGCCATCAAAGCCCTGAACTAAAAGATTTGGATGTCGATTCAGAGTTAATATGTTTGTGATTTTGGCCACAAAAAAGTTCCTTTGTCCTGTGATGTCGATCATTTCCTGTAAATGGCCGATGCCACCTGGTTATCGGAGCATTTTGGCTTGTCCCGCCGATTCTAAAAAAAAAAAAACTTCTCTGTTTTTAGTAAGTTCTGATACAGAAAAAGACATCCTGCCGCTGATTACTCACTCCAGTGCTTTTGTTACCAGCAACCACTCATCGTGACACACTTGCTATGTTGACTCGCCGTTTCCCTTGTTTGCTGTTCAGGGCAGGAGAGAAGCCTGCGTTTGACATGGTTCCGGATCCCAATATAAGGCGGGGGGGTGATGGATCCAGGGAAGTGAGGGGGATGTGGAGGGAATGATATAGTCTTTGTCATCCGCAATAAGGAGAAAAAAAATAGGAAGAGCTGGGAGCCACTGTGTGTCTTTGAATGGGGTCAGGGCATCATGGGGAATAATGCATTTCCCTTCTCTTGCGCCAGTCGCTCCTTCCATTACGGCTGGAGAAGAGACATTGTGTCCACACTCTGATTACCACTGATCCATGCTGATGACTCTGTTGGCGGATTATCTCAGTTAGTATCAGCCATCTGTTACTGTGTGTACGTGTGTGCGTGTGTTTGTGTGTGTGTGTGTGCGTGTTGAAGGGGGTGAGGAGAAAAAAGGGGCAGGATTGAGACACACAGGAGGTTTTATAGTTTGAGGCTGTGACACACACACACACACACGCGCAGACGAGCTCACGCAGACGCAGCCCTCCGCTGGCACGTGTCCTGGCAGTCCTTTTGTCAAAACCGCTGCATGTGTAACCGGGCACCGTCGCATGCACACAGCCCGGCCGCGGCCGCGCCACAGAGCAGGCGTGCCATGTGAGGCCGCATTCCAAGCAGCACCGCCGCCCCCTAAACGCGAGCACGCTATCTTCCCTTGATGCTATTGTGCCCTCCTTTCAGACGACACTGACAGGCGAAGGCTCCTGTATGAAGGCCACATGCAATCATAAAGCTGCAGAGCTGTTTATAGCTCCGCTATCTCCTGAAGGGCCGTTGTGTGGAGGCACCATTAGGTGCATGCGATGACAGCTGCGCGCTGTGTTATATTTGTGGACGTGACTGTGAATCCGATGCTGGAACACATCTTATAAATCATGGTTCAGCCATTAGCATAAATTCTGCCTCTCCTTGCATCTGCGGGACCTGCTGTTTCTGGTCGCAGTGCTCTGTGTTGATTGGTTCGTGTTATTCAAGTCAAATTGATTTAGCCGCACACAGAGATTATGACGCTTGCCTTATACTGCAACTGTTGTGTGCCGTTAATTACCTATAAAATCAAGCTAATTCCGATTCTAAATCCATTTTAATTTCTCATAATTAAGTCAGGATTGGATCCTTAAATACCTTGGCGCTCCATTATTGTTGCAATCATTGTTGTGGCTGTGCATTTGGTGGTACATTGCGCAGCTCAATCTTATTATTGTTATTAGATTTAATTGCACTAAGTGATCAGTTTGTAGTTGTTGGAAGAAGATGGACTTGCCTCGCAGTCGTTTTTTTTCTCCCCCCGCTGTCCTTTTTCTCTCCATCTCTCATCCCAGAAAGAGGCCCTTTGAGAGATAGTAAGAGATGAGAGAGGATGAGGGGGAGGGTGGCTCTGCTTTACACCTCTGCAAAGGAGGGATTGCTTTTTTGTTGTTTGTTAGGGGGGAAATCAATTCTGCTCACATCATCACGTTTTGACAAGGCGAGGCATTAAGTGCAGATATTGAGGAACGACAGGAATGGTTTACAGCCTGTCCTTCATCTTCCCCACTCGTTTCTTTTCTTCTTCCTTTCCATCCACAACAAAATCAGAGTATATTGTCTTGCTTATCCTTTTTTCTTGTGGTCTCTTTCTCTGCCTCTTTCTGTGTTTTTCTGCGTCCCCGTGAAAAGGTAGGGAATGATCTGCTTCACTTACCAGCTGACACCACATAAGCTCGCTCGTCCTCTGAGACACAAGCCTTTTGTTTTCATGTGCATTATGATAATTATGAAGGGCCACAGCTCGTCTCCATTTTCATCACGCACCTCCCGATACTTACATTTTCCCGTTGTCAGGAGTAACTGCGGAAACCTCACTTTGTTTTAATCTTTGAAGAATCCTCTTTCTTTCATGTTTTCCTCTTCACCCTAACCTGACATTTAAAAGGTGACAGCCAAAGTGAAAGGGATACGCCGTGACAGACGGTGGTGCAACAAAGTGTTGCTTAGAGGTAACGGTTTTTGGTCGAACTGCCGTGATAAAACCGTCCATCTTCACCTAACCTGAAACCGATCCCGGTAACTAATATGGAATGCTTGTGCCGTGCCGTTTGGGCTGATCATTTTGCTCTTTTACCCACATGCTGTCAGCTTGCGTGAGGGGCCTTCCAAAGGACCTTTGACCTTGCTCATAATTACACAACCACCATCTTTTCACTGCAGCAGCGGCAGTCATGGCCGCCCAAGTCCGATGGCACACCAGCCTCCTCCCCGTGGACTGCAGCAGGTTTTCTTGTCATCCGCGCCTCTCCCTCTCTCCCTCTCTTGTCAGTGTTGCTCCTGGCGAAAGGCTGATACTTGATATTCAGAGGATAGCAGCTTTTGTCTCAGAGATTTAATCAGTGGCTCTGCTCCCACTGCAGAGGGGCGAAGGAGGGAGGGAGGGAGGGAGGGAGGGTGGTGGAGGGGTGGCAGGAGAGAAGGAAGGAAGAAGAGATGGAGGCAGAGACTGTTTATGTGTAATGACACAATAACAAAGCCTGCCTGTAAAACACAATCTGCAAACTGTGCTTTTGAAGGGGATTTTCAGCCCTGGATTAGTGTCAGGCAGAGGGAAATGGAAAAGGAGAAGAGAGAGAGTCAGGTTGATGTGATAGACAGGGGAGGTGATTGTGTGTGTGTGTGTGTGTGTGTGTGTGTGTGTGTGTGTGTCTGTCTGTCTGCGGCGGGGGTTGAAATGTGTGCGTGCAAATTAATGTGTTTTGAAACTGTTGTATTTATTTGGCTCTACAAGTCAGCAGCTGTGTGGGCATTGCCACATTGTGCTCTCGGTTGTAAGCAAAAGAGGATTAAAGCTCACAAATGTGAGTAAAATATTTGGCTGCGCACTGACCAAGTGTTTCTTGTCAGGCTTATGCTGTTGGTTGGTTGATAATGGCTGGTACGGTGACTCTTTGAGACTGTTAATGGAAAGCTTTTGGGTTGGTTAATGCACACATTTTCTAAAAGCCCGTCCACTTAGTTCAACTGAAAAGAATCGGGGGGTCTCTGACTTCAAAAGATGCATTTTTCCTTGTGGAGCTATAAAAAGATCATTTTTGTGAAACACAGGTTTGCATGAATTGCACTCCTCTGTGTCTGAGGGACAAATGTGTTATTTATGTGTTATTTATCTATTTTTTTTCAGCTTGAGTTGCTCCTCTCTTCTCTTTCTCTCCAAAGATCCCACTTCAGCCTCAGCAGAGGGAGTTCTCGGTTTTAAAAAAAGGCTGTCCGGTTTAAAAAACACCTCCTCAGCACTGGCATTTTCTTGCATCACAATGTAAACCCTGCGTTTGCCGTCCGCTCCGAGAGTCCTTTAAAAGTGTCATCCTCTGTCCTAGCCCATATTCAATCAATAGCGGCTCGGAGCCAGTGAGCATAGCTAAATAGAAATATTGTTCAGGGGAAGTGAGATGTGAAAGGAAAACTGTCAGGAGGTGTGTATGTGTGCATACACGTGCATGCATGTGCTCGGACGTGCTGTGTAGGTCTGACCGTATACGTTTGTGTGTGTGTGTGTGTTGTGAGCGTACGCGAGGGTGTGCTTTGCTATTGTAACCCTGCTGATTGGATTGTGTTTGACAGATATGGAGTCTGGAGAGCGGCTGGCCTCCCCTGCGCCCACCCTGTCTGCTGCTCGCACCTCCTCCCCTGCGGCCTCTTCTTCCTCCTCCTCCTCCTCTTCTTCCTCTTCGTCATCGCCCGCTCCCCACTCCAAGAGCAGCCTGGCCCCGAGCCCATCAGCACTGGGATCCACCCTCAACACCTCTGGTAAGAAACAGTTTTCTCCTCTGCGTCAATCGTCTGTCAAGAAAAACACACCGTGCAAACAGTTTCCACCTAACCACAAAAAGAGCCAAATGTGGTCACCTTCATGTCTTGATAGCATTCAGAGCACTCCTCGTTTTCTTTACCATGAAAAATGAGTTTCCTCCGGTATTAATTATACTGTTATTTTGCGGCCGGTGCGAATACACCTCTCTCCCAGCTACCAGGATTATTTTTTTGTTGTATTTTTTTTTTTGTCCTGACAGCTTGGGTTGCAATTGAAAAGCTGCTGCATTAATGAATCCCAAACAATTAGGGGGCTCTTTTGTGTGAGAAACACACACATGCTTCGCCATGTCTCCTGACAACCTTCAGCTCTCTGGCTCCAGCTGCCTCCGAGTCAGGCTCGGCACGCCACTGTGCGTGCATGTGTGTGTGTGTACGTGTGAGAGAAAGAGCCTCTGCCTGCATGATTTAACATTTGTTAGCCACTCAGTGTCTAGTCAGCCCTGTCCTGCATCCAGCTTTCCTTTCTATGTATTGGTCAAAGCCATTAGGGGAAGAGTGTGTATCCTTGGTTGCATGCGCGCGCTTGTATCTGTGTGTTTTTCAAATATCCCTCGTGCGCGAGAGAGTGAATCATTTGCTCAGACTTTCTTCCCCCTCATCTCCTAATGTCTTGTTTTTTTTTTCCTCAAACGCCTGCTATATATGCACACACTCCCATTCACACAAACCACCACTGCGCTAAGCAGGGAATAGTATATCCAGCTCTCACCACGATTGTTGTTCTTTACATTTTTTTTTATTCTCTTTTGTGTGAAAAGAAGACTGAGGGAACAAAAATAAAGCCCCTTCTGTTGTCCCCTTATCCTCAGAGTTGCCCCAAAGAAGAAGCCATTAGTAGCATCTTCCTCTTATGCATTAAACATCTCTCTTATGCCTCTGTGCCATTACGTGTGCTCAGATTTTCTAGATAAGCAATTTTGGTCTTGAGTGTCAAATGAAATGCTTAGAGGCGGTGTTAGTGCAAAACTTTTGCGAGCCAACACTTTATCATACCCTACAAAGCATTATGTGGCTTGTGTTCAGGTTGATGCTGTCTAACGTACACACGGCCTATAAAGGTGAGGAGACAGGCTTTTTCTTCCCCTTCCCAGCTCCAAGTGTCACACTGTGAAATAAGGAAAGCATTTTGATGGCAAAGCAGAAGAATGGGAGGCTAACATCTGTAATTAAATATTGCAGATAAAGTATCATAACTGTCTCTGCAAGCATTGATTCAAGGTCCTTTGCCAGTGAGCCAGTCACACTTAAGAAAATAGAATCTGAGGAACATAAAAATGAGCACGCTCGCTGTTTGTGTGCGTGTGTGTGCACGTGTCATTGATGAGGATATCACTTGGAGAATAAAAGCTGATCGGTGCTTGTAGCACTCTCTCCTTCTGGGATCAACTCACGGATGCAATTAACTTAAATCTGTCTGTGGAAATTTGATTGACTGCAACAAACAACAAATTAATCCCCCTTCGGCAGCATCCAAACATGAAAAAAGCAGGCGGTGCAGTTTGTCAGAGCGGAGGCAGGATTTAAACAGAATGAAAAAGAGGGCAAGGGAGTGAGAGGGAGGAAGGGAGAGTAGGTAATCCAAGGTATGTCTTTCCGGAGCCTCATTCTCACTTGAAATTTTTAGATTTAATTATTCGCCTTCTGGAAGCCCGCATTAATATTGAAGAGGCATTTGCAGATGTCACTTTGTGTTGGCTAGAATGGAATGAGGAGGGTTGTGGGGGGAGAGGTGGGCACCCTAGGCGTGAGTGAATGCTGTGGCTGGCCTTTCTGGGGGTTGCATTGCAGTCGTTTATCTTCGTATCCACTAGCTGACGCTGGCAAGGCGGGCCCTACATATTCAGCATATTCTAATGACATTCAAAAAGGCAGAATTTGCTGTCTCGTGGCAGAGAGGGACCTTGAAGCCAACACAAAGGGCCATACTCTCATATGTCACCGTGCCAGCATGCTGGCAAGGCCACATAACAACAGGCAGTTTGATTCACACTTAAAAAATCTGTGAGATGCATCTGTTCGGTTCTCATTCCGGTATAGAGCATATGTAACCGGCCCCATTATTGGATCCTTGACTGCATTAGCTCAGAAAACACCATGCCTCAGTGTCAGTCTCCTTTACTTTTCTGTGGCGAGTGCATGTGTATAGTAGTTTGACATTTTCATCTGCACTGTGCACAACACTTTCCTTTTCTTCAGTCATCACTTTTTTCCCCCTCCTTTTGCATGTGTATTACCTGACTTATGCAGAGGCATCGAGCAAGCTTGCTCTCCTTTTCGGGGAATAGAAATTGAATTTGCATGAAATATGCTCACACCAAATTGCATCTGACTCTGGGAGGAGGTAATACGTGGCAGTCGCCCCTGCCAGAAATGATTGTGTGGAGGAAAACGCTAGACGATGATGATGTTGATGAAGTATTCTTCTGTGCTGAAATTGAATGCCAAAAGGATGGAAGGAGGTTAGGTTTTTACACCTCATATAGATGGTTTGTTTCTCACAAAGAACAGCCCGCCTTTGTTAGTGTGCAGCTCTGACTTCAAGCCGGAGATACATCAATACACAAATACGATTTGATGAACACCAAATGCTCAGTAATTTAAAGGTGAACGCCTAACTATATTTGAACAAGCATTAGTGTGTCTGTAGAGCTCCGAATCAGTGTAACTGCTGTGCAGTGAGCTTTGAGTGAAAACTACATCTTGAGTTAATTCCTCCACAAATAAAAAAAAGAAGGTGCTAGGTTTGTAATTCCTCTGGAGATAAAATGGATTAAAAGTGGCTCCCTCAAAAGGTATTTCAATCCAGTTTTTTCACCCCGTTGATTCTCACGTTTAGAGCACCGAGAAGCAATTTCAACACTTTGTTCTCGGTTTGCACAAATAAAGACAGAAAACAACCATTTCGTCGATGAGTTGTGATAAGACGCCATAAACAGCTGCCACATCACATGTATGCACAGAAATATGAGCTTAATGTTTCTAGTATAAGTGGTCAAATGATGTTCAAACAATTTTTGGGTGTTAGAGCTCAAAACAAATCTCACTTCCTGTATGAAATGGGCTCTCATGTATGATGCTGGAGTATGTACTCCCGGCCTGAGACTGAAACTGCAGCTGCATGCAAACATTGAGCCATTCGGTAATAACAGCCACGAGAAACAGGAATGGGAGATACAGTCTGTATTCCGTTTCTGTCAAAAGCCTGTGCTTTTCACATTTTAAAGTTGCTGAAAAAGCAAGTTAGATTCACAAGGTTTTCTATTACACTGGATGTATTTTTTCATTTTTAGAAAAAAACTTCATAGTTATCAAAAGTTTAGAAACCAAATCGCACAAGGAAATTTCAGCATGTCCGGCTGCCTTTATATCGGTTACAGGCCGTCTGTATGGAGCAGCGGGAGAGCAGCCCTTCATTGGCTCCACATTGTCAAGTGCCTTCCCTCTGGTCAACCATCCAGCCTTCGGAGCCCTCTACACTGCCGGAGCGGGCAGGCCTGAGTTTGGTGGCCTGGGCTCTCTCGGGATGTCAGCTGCTCTGGCTGCCCACCCCCAGCTAGGAGCCCTGTCTGGTAAGAGGGGGGCTTTTGAATTTTGGGTAGTTGTTAGAAAAAAGGATTATTCCTTTAATTCCTGTCCTCTCCTCTTCTCCCTGTGCCTCCTCTTCTCTCCTCCTCCATTCCCTCTCCTCTTCCCCTCTTCTCCTCTCCTCTCCCCTTCCCTCTCCTCCCCTCCCTCCCTTCCCTCCCTTCCCTCTCCTCTCAGACTGGTGGCGAGCTGCTGAAGCCCATGGACGGGGAGCTGCTGCCTTTCTTCCCTCCTTCATAGGCTTCCCTCCATTCTTCGCCCCTCACATTCAGCCCAATCACAATGCTAGTCCTATTCAGATCAGGACGCCTGGCAAGAATAGCCATGCCCCACCTAAAGGTACAGCCCCATGCTAAAGACCCATCCATTCATCTGTCTCTCCTCTCCCACAACCTAAATCCACTTTGCCCTGTGATGAGATTTCCCCCCTTTCAAGATAGATTTAATGTCTTCCACAGCTTACTAAGTCATTCTGTTAGCTTCTTTCTTCTGCTGTTTCCCTCAGGTTCCCCCTTGTAATCTCTGTTTCTCGCGTTCTTTTTAATTTCGCACTATCTTTTAATTTATCTTTTATTATGTAAACCACTCATGTTGAGCTTGTGGCTCGCACAGCCAGCACATTTGATGAGATACACGCATAAATCAATATTTTTATTAGCCTTATTCTCGTCTGCATTTAGTGTCAGATATTCCATTATCCCTTCTGCAGAGTTCTTGGAGGAAGATCAAGCTGATTAGTAATACAGCAGACTTTGTGTGTCTAGGGTTGAATGGTGCAGTGAATGGCGGCGGCGTCTGCCCTCCCACCTCACAATCAGGGAGCTTCTCCGCCAGTCCGACTCCTCTTCAGGCACCGACAAAGCCCACCAAAAACCCGGAGCCCTCTAACAGCCACCGTAGCAGCCCGCAGAACAACCCAGCAGAGCTGGTGGAGAAGGCGGTTCAGAAACCTAAAGAGAAGGTCAGTGCAAAGCCTGCTCCTCAGTTTACAGCGAGCAGAGGAAGTGGGCATTTGCATTTGGCAGTCAGATGGATTTTTACAGGGTTTTTTTCCCTCTTATCTCTATGCAGAGGTCACGAAAGAAGCCGACAGAGGCTTCTGTGGCCAGCAACAGTGAATCAGGCACATCCTCAGACAGCTCGAGTGACGGGTCCCTCAGCAGCGACCTGGAGGACCTGGCAGAGGATGACGAAGATGATGATGATGATGATGACGAGGATGATGAAGAGGACGACAAGCAGAGTGAATTGTCAGACTCTGAGAAGCGGACAAAAAAGAAAGCAAAGGTAAAGAAGAAAAGTGGAAAATCTGTGGTAAAAGTTCTTTGTTCTCATAAAATCACATGAATTATTCACCAAAACGCACTTGACTGCTCATTGACATCCAAACTGTGACTGTTGTAGCATTATTAATCACACCATAAAGTTAGTCTTTATTCTGACGGCTTTTAATTTGATTTTCTCCTCAGGCTTTAATACCCAGCTCCGACACTGTAACAACTGACAGGCCACTCTCGAGGGAGGCCCAGGAGAAGAAAGACACTTATGCTCAGAGGGTGCTCTCCAACCCCCCAACCCTCGTGCCCTTACCGTGCTCTGTCTCCCCTCCCGCCTTGTCCCAAACCTCAGCACTGGGACTCAGCTCCAGGCCCCGGACCGAGGGCCCCCAGCAGCACTTCAGTGTGATTCAGTCCACTGGCCTGGCTGCCAACCCAAAGCCCCTGGCACTTCTCGCCCAGTCCCGGAGGGAGTCTTCGCCCTCTTCCTCCCCCATAGCTCTCACCACGTCTCCAAAGGCACTCTCCAGCACCGCTTCTCCCAAACCTCCCAAACTGCTGCCCTCCTCCTCCTCCCCTCAGCACCTGCCCCTCTCCCTCTGTTCTTCCCCAAAGCCCCTCTCCGTCCCCTCTCCGCCCCGCTCCACTCTCCCAGCTTCTACCTCCCCGAAGCCTTTCAGTTTGACCTCGTCATTAGCGAGCTCCCGGAAGCCCTCTCTGAAGCCACCAAAGCACGCTGTTCCTGGCACCGCCAAATCCAACAAAAGGAAACTGCTGGAAGCTTCGCTTGCGCAGATCAATGAGTTCAGGCTCAAACAGGTAAGCCAATCAAAACCTGCTCTCCGCCACATCCACACTAATGACACGGCACTTCCCACTCCCTATGAGAACATATTCAAAGTCAATGGCACACTCAGGTTTAGTTAAAGAAATCCTTTACAAATTGACAGCAATGGAATTATTCCCTGGTTTACAGTTGGACCCCCAGCTTTGTTCATCTCAGGAAAAGGTCCTAATTTTAATCTGGTGACCATTTCCTGCATTTGTTTTAGCTCAAGGTTTCAGCAGCTTGTTGAAGGTTACAAATCCACCAAGTGAATCTGCAGTTTTAGCTGGATCAAGCCATAAGAGTTTCTGCTGCCAAATGGCCTTTTGAAATATAAATAGCCATCAGAAACATTGGTGTTGTGCGATTTTTGTAAGAGTCGTTCACTTGTGATTCACTGAGATCGATCAGAGATTGAGATATTTTATACATTAGCAGTTTCCAAAGAATCCATTCATTTTAAAGTAGCTGTAATGGAGTTTGAACGCTAAGCTTGCGAAAAAAAGTTAAGCACGGAATAGAAAAAACTGCAATCTGTTACTTTAATAGTTCCTTCAGCATAGGTAACTGTTGTGTTTTTAAAATTGGTTAATTAATGTTCTGTAATTGCAAAAAAAGGCCTTAATATGTGGAGTCGGCAATGATTTTGCCTTATATGCTTATCTCCTGCACAAAGTTGCGCTTTAACAGTTTAACAGTTTAATTTGATATACATTGTAAGTTTTTATTTAGTTCTTTTTCCCCTCTCACATATCTTCCTTCTGTGAATTAATGTGTCAATCAGCAGGCAGTTTAACTTTAGAGCTGCTACAGGCCAAATGTGTTCTGTCACGTTCAAACTTCCCTTCACAGTTAGCTCATTAAGCTCTATAATCTGTGTTCTGTCATGGTTTATCTCTGCTTGATTATTAATAGCTTTGGACTGGTTTACATTGGTCATGTTTGCTGCAGTAAGTTGAGCAGCCTGTTGATAAGCCAGCTGTTCTCTTTAGCTCTAAAACAGTGTTCATAACCTCTATGATTCTGGTAAGTTGACATAATGTTCCATTCAAATGGACTTGTTTGCTTTCAACACTGCGTTTTCTCCAAATGAAAACATGATAATCAATGAGATACACTTATTGACACCATCTTGTTCTGTATAAATCAGTTCGCCTTTCTTGTTTCACAATTACAGAGAAGTTTACAGCGAGCTAAATTCCCCCTGTGGTTTTAGCAGTGTTACTGTAGTTCATGGTCTGTGAAATTGATTTGTTTCACTTCATATCACATCCAGTTGAAAGTGCAGCGTTAAAGCCCAACCTGCCTTTTCCTTAAACACAGATTTAGCCAAATTTGCCGTCAATGTTTTAAAAAATAAAACATGCCAGGCAGAAAAATGATAAAGCAAATAGGGTTTTTCAAAAGCTCAGACAAGTAATTACAATTTTAGAGCGATACACCGTGTCTCTTTTTGTGATCTTGGTTGAGAACAATGCATGTGGTTATTGCATTTATGTCCTTTTTGTGTCCCCAAAAGAGGCTTAGACACAGTTAACTGTACCAGTGTTCAGCATTGTAGTTTTCTCACCTGCTCAAACAATCAGAAGTGATGCCAACTGACAGCTGGAGCAACTCCACTTTGTCCCGTTTCTTTTTCTAATTTTTTCCCCTAACCTTTCTTTGTTTCTCCCATTTTGCTGCCCTCCCCCTGTCTCCCTGCCGTTCCTTGTTCTCTCCCTCTCCTTTACCCCCCTCAGACTCTTATGTCCCAAGGGCAGACGTTCCAAGCTGAGCAAAAGAAGCAACAGCAGGGGCCAAACAAATCCCCCAAGAGGACATCACTGTCTTCACCACCATTGCCACCTGTTCCTCCTCCTCCGCCCCAGAACAATCACTCCAACCTCTTCCTCTCGAGCGCCCTGCTGGGTCTCTCTGAACCTCATCACCCGAACGGAGTCATCCAAAGCACCACTCAGGACGCACCTCTGGCCCTCATCACCAAACCTCGCAAAGACTCCGCCTCCCAGGGCAAGTCTCCCCCGCGCGACCCGGACGCAGGGTCAATGCCTGTCAACCTGAGCACAGGGGCCAGCAGGAGCCAAGCAGCCGCCCAGGCCGGGCCCCTGCCACAGCCCCCCACTACCTCACCCCATGCCACAGGCCATGGATCCAGAAAGAACAAGACCCCTAAGAGTAAGGGACAGACACCGGGACTGGGACAAGCGGACCCCTTAGCTGCCTGGAAGGGCTTCTCTCAGAACCATCTGGTGCAGTCTCTGGTAGACTTGTTTCGAGGCGGAGAGCCCGGCATCGGGATTCCTGGAGTCAGTATCCCTGGGGTTGGAATTCCAGGTGTAGGAATCCCCGGGACATGCAACCCCACAGCTGGTCTGCCAGCCAACAAAGAATCTGACGACTCAGGAGATGACGACGACGATGAGGACGACGACCTTGAGGAGGAGGAGGATGAAGAGGACTCGGATGACAGTCTGTCAGGTTGGTGTTGTTTACGTGCAGCTGTAAATGTCCCTGATTATGTGAAATTGAGCACCAGATGATGCTTTTTTTGTTTACCTATTAGCCTCCTAATTTTTTCGGGGCCATCTAATTAATTTATAATTTATTTAGGCTGTTTACCCTCCCAGTCGTCAGAACAAAAAGCTCCTTTGCAGTTTTTAGTGAAAAGTCACAGCTCAGAGAACTCATAATCTATTCTCAAAATAGACTCATACCCAATCACTAGTTTCTAAATGTCTCCGTAAACCGATGGCTTTTTGGTATTTAACTTGTTTCCTGGTAACTTTTTTCAGAGTCCGACAGCAACTCAGACAGTGACATCTCTGGAAAGAAAATGAAGGAGTTAAAGCTGCTGCCGTCTGGATCATCTAAGAAGGAGATGATTACCCAGAGGCTTACCAAAGGTTCAGAGCTACTGAACACCTCAACCAATCACACCAGCACCAGCTGCTCCCCTCTCAACCTACAGGTCATCAAGAGCCCCACTATTGCCACCAGCTCCAGTGCCTTGGCCTATCACAGCTCTCCAGGCTCTTCCTCCTATAGCCTCGCCTCTCCATTAGGTAACTGCTCAAAATCCTGTCCACCGACTCTAAAACTGAGAAGTGAAAGGTGGTTTTAGTTAGTTGCTAGAAATGATTAAGTCCCACACAGCATTAGAAGCAACATGACTGTATGTATTGCCAAGAGGAAACAGACCTCTGTCACCTTCAGGTGATTATGGAGAGGGCATGTTCCCTTTGGAAGGCAGGAAGGAGGCGGTTTGTTGTCATGGCTGAACCACAGCTCAGAGATCCTGTAGGGGCATGCCCATGAGCCCTGACAGCTTGTTTGGCAGAGCAACAACGTTCATTTCCGCTGCTTTCAATGAGAGATTACCCAGTCCAGAGAAAATAGGGCATAGATGTAGCTTGCCAGGAAGCAAGACATTTACAGTCTTTCTCTGGCTGTAAGTGCTTTTGATTCTCCCGTGCTTGCTCTCTTCCGCGTTCATGCATATCAGGATTAGGGCGTAGTTTAGGAGCTTTAAGACAACAGTTCAGCATGTATACATTTAACTTCCGTGGTCACATAATGCTGTTAAAAGAAGTTCTGCTGTGCCAGCACACGCATGCGTGATTCATCTCGCTCTGTGTGATATTTGATCAGATTTCAGGCTTTGCGTCTTTATCTGTAAATGTATGCTGCTTTAGTGATGGTTAACTCGTTTCTCCACAGGCTTAGGGAAAAGGAAGAGGGTGATGGATGAGAAGGAGTTGATGGCACCTCTGGAGTTGGGGTATGTGCAAGTAGTTGAGAAAAAAAAATGCATCGCGGTGACTTTTGTGCCGCTGTCATAAAAACTGTAGCATGCAGTACGCACCTTTTTCTGATCGGCTGTTGTCTTTGCTCTCCTAGGTGGCGGAGAGAAACCAGAATCAAGTCCGTGGCCGGGCGCCCACAGGGCGAGGTGGCCTACTATGCCCCATGTGGGAAGAAACTGAGGCAGTACCCAGATGTGATGAAGGTACTTTGGTGCAACAGCGCTGCATTTTAGCCTCACTGAGGATGCCGAAGCAAATGTTTGTGGGCAAACTGATGAGCGGTTCAATTTGGAAAACCGAATTACAGTGGGGATCATAGTGAAAAGCACATTTTCACGATTTGTCGGGATTCTTTCCGATAACTGCGAATGCGCTCTTCCGCATTGCTCACAGAAATGCTTGTGTATCCGTTTTATCTGGTCCCTGCTATGCTTCAGCTGCACTCCACCCATCCCCGTCCCGCTGTCCGTGACCCTAATAGTGAGAAATTACATTCTAAGATTCCCCTCATGTGCCACTGTTTTTTTTTTTTTTTGTCTTCTCCCTGCCCCCCCTCCCAGAAATGATTAATGATTAGCTATGGGATGCACAACTTTGGCTACATTTGCACAGTTTCTGCACAGATCTCCTGTGTTCATCAAAAGCTTAACCACAATCGTTGTCCAAATTGTCTTTGAAAGTGGAAGTGGTGCACAAAAAAGTCAATGCAGTGACATTCATTCTCTGCAAGTCAGTCAGCAGGCAGTAAAAGCGAAGCAGCGCCACAGATAAATAAGAAAGGGCCTGAATTGTGCATCCCAAGGTCGGAACCGTTTTTCTCTCCTGAGGGCTTTTGCTCTTTTTTTTTTGTCCCTTTGCTTTTATAATGATTACTACCTCTGCACAGACGCACTGTAGCCGTAGACTCCTCTCAGTCTAGTGCTTCTCAGTTGCTGTTCATTGTCGCTAATTTCGCAGATTTTTTTCCTGCCTCAACCAACGCCATTATTATTTTCTCTTCTGTAGTATCTATCCAGAAATGGAATAAGTGGCATCACGCGCGATAATTTTAGCTTCAGTGCAAAGATAAGGGTTGGTGACTTCTATGAAGCCAGAGAAGGACCCCAGGTGACTGCCTTTCATCTCTCTCTATCTTTCTGTCCCTGATCCCTGTTCATCTTTTCATCTAGAGGGAGGCTATGCTTCATGCAGCAGTCACTGTCAGGCTATGGATAGGAATCAACCAAAAAGAAAAAAAAAAAAAACCCTCAGTAGTTCTAGTTCACAGACCTCGCACTGTGCATGGAACTATGTAATAATCAGCTGACATTACTTCCACAGGTGACCAGTGATAAATGCCATGTTATGTGTTTGTGATGCAAGGAGATAAACTAGAAAAAGGACACATCCGTTTCATTTGAAGCATAAAGGAGTAAATATTCAAAAAGGATAAATACAGTGCAGTGCTGAGGGGACAACAAACACAAGGCATAAAGCTTATCATGAATAATCATTTCTATTTGCATCTATTGTTAAGAAAATGTTATTCAGTATCTTACAAAATATATAAAGATGTTTTATTGAAGTCAAAATGTTGTTTCCTTTCTGCCGATATCATCGGCTAAGCTAATCATCACAGTGCTTCTCAGTTAAATCGAATTACATATAACAGCAAGTAACATCAATAACATTTCCGCTCTTTTTCTTCAGGGTTTACAGTGGAGCCTGCTGAAGGAAGAGGAAGTCATTCCCCGTATTCTGGCGATGGAGGGCCGCAGGGGTCGCCCCCCGAATTCAGAGCGGCAGCTAGCAGGCGACGGTGCCAAAAGTAGCCGACGGAGGAAGGGACGACCCCCAAACGTGGGCGACCCCCTTGCTCCGGAGGGCCCCAGTCCCAGTGAGGTCAAACTTCTGCGCAAACTAGAAGCTCAAGGTTAGTAAAGGAAATGAGCCCTGAAATGTGTTTGTCATGAGTGCGCCATTAATCTGTCAGTCATTACTCAGCCAGCAGAGGCTGAGAAAGGGGGCGCAGCTTTATGCGTGTGGTACATCGAACACTTTTTATTCCTCATGCTTATCTTATCTAGCTCCTCCACATATTAAAACAGTTAAGCTTTTCTTTTTGGATGCTTGTTTTTTGGGGGGTTGATGTTTAAAAACATGAAAGCCACTACTCTAAACAGATTTTAGTGGTTATTTTTTTATTTTATTTAACACATCGGTACACTGAATTACTTCGTCAGAGTTTAAAAATGATCTGATATGCCCAGCATGACTTCAGCAGCATTTGGGTATTTGGTATTCTCCCATAGTCTCTCACTGACAATGCCTTTTTTTCTGCTAGAAATAGCTCGGCAGGCCGCCCAGATGAAACTGATGAGAAAACTGGAAAAGCAGGCACAGGCGCGGGCAGCCAAAGAGGCCCGAAAACAGCAAGGTAACAGACCACAGGCCTGTCAACATGCTGGTGAAGGTTATTAGGATGGTCAGTGTGTCACTCCAAACTACTTTGATCTAAGTAAGCATAGTATAAAAACCAACAGGACCTTTTGGGGAACTCACGCTGCTCTCAAAGCATTTGTTAGTATGTACATTCATATTTGATTTCATTGCTTTAAAGCATCAGCTTTAATCTTCCTTCTGCTGTAATCTTTCCACGACAACGCTGCTGGTTTCAGATGTTATACAGTTTTATATTCACGTACATGATTACAAAGCTTAGAAATCAAAATCTTTTGCTTGGCTCTGACTTAAATCAAAACCACAACTGAAACTAGTATTTCTTCTGAAAAGTGTAATATACCAAAAAAACTGCATGCTTTTTTTTTATTCGGGTGTTGTTGCCTGGAAAATGTCTTTATTATGGAATAGCTTGGGTTCAAGAGGACAGAGAGGAGTCAATATAAAAATTGAAAGCCAATCAGAATAAGATAAAAGCCTTCAGCCCCAATTTTTGAGCCAGAGAAATGATGTACTCTGTATCAGGATGCTAAATGATGGTATCCCTCAGCCACAGAAGTCTGCTTTCAGTCCTGTCATGGAACAGCGTGCGATGCAGCTGTTATTACAAAAAGCAACGCTGTGATGCTAACAACCTTTTTCTGTTCGGGTTTTCATGTTTCTGCTTCCAACTGCTTCAAATGTTGCTCCACGTCTCTGACGGAGCTCAAACTGCTGTTACTGATGATTTCCTATCAAGCCCCGGAGGCATTGATTGATGTGTTCCTCTAAGATCAATATTAGGCCCACAGCTTCTTGAACACAAATTACACTTATTCTCCATCTCTGTACCATATTGCCAGCTTTTAAACACAGCATGTTTTATGTCATCGGCATCATAGGTAACTAGCCGTGCTCCAGCTTGCAGGCTGCTTTTGATCACCTGCTCACCTCTGAGCCTCATTTAAAATGTATTCTGAAATTTCATTTTAATTACTGATGCTTCCAATTCTATAAATGCCCTTAATGATAATCAGACTGACACCGCAGCATCACTAATACTTAGTAAAATACCGTCCAAGTATTCTCATGTCTTTTGATGATTTGTCTTGGAATAGATTTGTCTTATTTTTATCAGCCTGTTTCTCTCACACTAAAATACACCTTGTGTGTCCTTATGGGAAAATCCAATCTGTTTAATTTTTCAATGTTAGATATCAGAAATTTGATGTTAAAAAATGGTGCCATTTATCACTGTGGCTTTTAATTTACTGAGCCGAAAAGCTGGAACACTCTCCAAGCCAGTGAAATAAAAGGATGAGTTTCATTCTTCCAGTTTGGAGTTAATAACCTGCAAGACTTTAGGACTGTCATATCAACATGACCAGTTAAATGTTTTAGATGTTTACTTTCTTGTTATGCAAATCTCTTTTCCAACAAAGACCGGGCATAAAAACAGCTTCAATAACTGAACTGGGCTTGGTTCCAGGTTGTAGAAGCAGAACTAACAGCCAGTCATAAGTGTGCAGCTTATAATGACTTTCTTTGTTAACGTCTTGTTTTGACTTACTGTTGATCTGTTTGATAATCTTTATAGAGTTGATCACTCTATGTATGATGTCACATAAAGCTACCTTTATATAACGCTTTTAAAAACTTCGGAAACCAAAAGGAAAACTCAAGGAAAAGTTGTTGTTTTACTTGAGGAGACAAGTCAAAATCCGTCCAATAAAACATAACATGATAACCACATCATGATAGTATAAAAAAAATTTAGCGAGTAAAACTGTTAGTGAAGTTTAAAAAAACCCACAAATGAAGATTGATGAGGAAATGAATAAAAGCCGACAGTAATCATTGTACATTAACAGGCTTTAAAAGAAATTCAACTCAGTTGACGCATAATGGGAGGACTGGGAATGTTTTTATGTGGTCCAGCGGTGGAATAAGGAGTTAGAATATCAGCCACACACTTGACAACTAAATGATTTAGGGGTTGGAATATGAGCAGCACTTTAAAATAAACGCAAAATGTTTAAACTGAGAAGAGACTTTTAGCCATTTACAACCTGTTACAGTCTCGTTGCTGCATTTAGAACCAATGAGCTGAGTGAGGTTAGATGGAGTCAGGCCCATATTGGAGCTGCACCGTTTCACCAGAGGGGCATTATGGGTAATGGTTTTCAGGCACTTGAAAGGCATTTGTTGCTGTCTTAGCGGAGGACTGGTTAAAGCTGACCTTTAAAACGCCGATGACTCGCTGGTTATTAAAAAAAAAAAAAAAAAGATTCCTGAGGAAATGAGACACGTTATTTTAAAACACTGTAAAAATGTGTCATGTAAATGAGTGTGTCTGTGTGCACTGTGATTGTTTGGGTCCCTTGACTTGTTTTAGTCAAGTCAGTTTTCCTCTGTGAATAGCTCAGCCACTCCTTTGAAATGTCTTACAGTGATCCTTGTAAGACATCTCGAATAAGTAAAGCTTAAAAGCTGTAATTCTCTGACATTTGAAGGTTGAAGCGTTGTAGGTCATTTTTCTGGACACTGATATAACACTGACTACTCTTGCAGCTATCATGGCAGCCGAGGAGAGAAGGAAGCAGAAAGAGCAGATAAAGATCCTTAAGCAGCAGGTGGGTTACATTTCTTTTCTGTTTTTACTCTATCTAGCTGTCCTGACACAAACTCCCTGTGAACACAGCCTAAAATGCTGAACGCCTGTTTTGTGATCCTGTTAAGCTTGCTTTTGCACTCACCATTATTACCACTTCTTTTAAACTTCCCTATTTCTCTTTGCTCACTCCTGATTTTATCTGGGGATGTTTGCCTACGTCTGAAATATTAAGAGATTATGTTTTGTTTGTTTTTTTTTTGTCCTTTTTCTTACAGGAGAAGATCAAGCGTATTCAGCAGATTCGGATGGAGAAGGAACTGAGAGCGCAGCAAATTTTGGAGGTAGAGAATCTGATCCAACTGCACCTCTGATTAAGCAGAACATTCCTGGATAGCTCTAGCCTCTCAGTCTATAGTGTTTTAATCTTCCTAAAGCTCATTACTGAACAGCAGCATGCATTGGAGGGAGTGCGTCTTCTTAGGCATAATTCCACATGGAACTAATGCTAAATTGGTCTTGGTTGACGGCTGTTGAATATTAAAATGGCTGTTGCTGCCTCTTCAGACCTTATTTAAATTGGTAAGGAAAAGTCTTTTTTTTTTTTCATCAGACAACAATAACAGTTTAGCATAAGTGGGTCGAGGAAAAAAAAAAGATCTGTTTTCTGCACGCAAACACAGGTTTGCACACACACACACATATACATGCGCGGACACACACGCAATTATACTGCAGGAGCTTCAAAGTGTTTTAACAGGAGTAAATCAATTTTTGGTTGACACAGTTGGCAAGCAACTCTTAACAAGAGCCTTCAAAATTTTCGCAATTACTTGTTAAAGAGATACATAATTCATTCTCTGTGTTTTACAAATTTTAGCTTCAAGCCTTTGCCTAAACCAGAAGACTAAAAACAGAAAAAAGGGAATAATTTTGAGCGCAACAAAGCTGTCAAGCAAGGCTGATTGATATTTGTCTGTCTTGTGATTCCTGACTGTAATCTTCTTTCACAGGCCAAACGTAAAAAGAAAGAAGAAGCAGCAAATGCCAAAATATTGGAGGCTGAAAAACGCTTAAAGGTTTGTTTGTATTCAAATAAAACCCTAAATTGCTTCATGCACATTTTACAGTGATTTAAAAAACGCAACCGTGATTAAAGTGAACTTGTCAAAACAAGGGGGAAAAAAAGAAAGAAATAGAATAAGCCTTTTGAAAAAAAAAAAAAAAAACTGAAATTCCATCAGTAAGTGCTGATTTTCATGATATTGGTACTGTGGAAGCATATTGATTTTCCCCTCATCATCTCATTCTTGCTTTGAAGGAGAAGGAGCTGAGAAGACAGCAGGCGGAGATTCTTAAGCACCAGGTAGGCATTTGGCCCAACTTCCTCCGACTTCTGAATGAAATAGTTTATTCTGAATTAAACCATTTACTCTGATGGGTGCTTGCACCAGAATTTGCAGGTGTGCGTGTGAGCGTGTTTGTGTGTGAGTAAATGAATTATGTGGCATGTGTATGTACAGTGTGAATGTGGTTAATTACCAAACATCTGTTTAATGACATACTTCAGTATTTCTCTTTATTAAACCCCATGCTTATTGGTGTTGGATGTTACTTCTGTTCCATAATATTTTGCCAACTCTCTCTGCCAGGAGTTGGAGAGGCATAGACTAGATATGGTATGGGTATGTTTATTTTTGTACATCTAACACCTGCATCGTGTAACTGGTTGTGTTATGGTTGTCATAGCAATGCATTAAGTGTAGCACTGGCTGCTGTCATACTACATTCTTCTGCATGGCTTTCCAGCAAAACCAACAAAAGAGAATAAGAGTCAGTATGCTGCCTCCATCTGCTCGTCCTGAGGGACAACTGACCCTGTCACGGTGGCCAAGCAGCTTCTGTCCCCTCCCCCATGCTCCCCTTCTACTCAGAATGCATTGCAAAGACCACTAGCCAATCCACACTCACTGTCTGAAAGAGCGCTGGAGGAGTTTCCATCCATCACATACACTGTCTAACCGTTGTATCGGAGTATCCTGTGTTACCCTTGAGTGCTTGACGATTTCGGCCCAGACATCGAGCTTGTGTCTGTTCGTCCGTGCATCTGTTCTGCAGTCCACAGAGTGCTGGACTTTAACCTGCCCCATCCCAGCCTCTCTGTCACTCACCGTTCCTGCACTCTGCACAAAGAATGAAAACAGCTACCAAGAGTCATTTTGTCTTCATGGTGGAGACGCTTGTAGCCCTATTTCCCAGCCTTTGAGCTCAGTCTCTGCTTTACACATGAATCTATTTTACTGAAGATCAAGAAAATAATCAATTCCACCATGGGGACAAATATGATTCTGAGTAGCATTTTATTTTGGCCTGGCTCTCCTGCTTGTAGCCCTTTTCACTCGTGCTCAGTTGCAGCTGAATCTAAAGGTCTGCCTATCTTTTTCTCATTGGCTTGAGACTATTAAAGCAGAGGGTTCAAAAGTTAGACTCATGAAATACTGCTGATATTTATAATCAGATTCATCATTGTCATAAAAAACCTTTTACATTTGTTCCATTTGATTAATTGTTTTTTAAAAAACAACCCGAAAATCTGAATGTCAGAGGCTTTAATTTTTTTCAAAACTGTCCATTAGTGAATAAATCAAACAAACAAATAAGGACAAAGAAATATGGCACCCGAGCACTTGGCATCCAGCTTGTTTTGTTTATCACAGTGACAAAATAATCCTCACAAACAGCCCATTTTAGTCTCCGTGTTCTGGAAATGTCCTTGGCAAGCCCTAATAGTAGCAATTGTGTCTTCCTGGTGGATCACAGAGGAAATGACAGCCTGATACTATGGAGCGGTAAACCTAGAGAGATAAAAAAATACGATACTAAGTCACTGGTGATTCCTGTGGCCTTTTGCAGTAGACCGTGTATCATGCACCAAAGAACAACATAGATGTCTCATCCTCTGAAGTCACATACTGTGCTAATGCTTAAGCTGCCAGAACCACTCAAGTGGAACTGCTCAGTTTGTAGCCACTCTTTCCTATCCATTCCTCTTTGTCATCCGCTCACCAAATATTACCGGAATGATGTGTCGAATAAACATTAGCCTCGACTCACACAATAGAAATTTTTTGATTTCGATTATAATGTCAGCGCGGCGCGTCAGATGACCTGTGGGAACTAGCATTTTGTTGCTTTTGTTGTGTCAGCTTTAGTTTAGAGGCGCCGTCACCGATTCCAGCTGCTTCTCTTTTTTGAGCCTGTCATCACATCTACTTTGTATCGCATCTATGTGTTGCTTTTTGGTTGTCATTGTACTACTGTACTCTTCACTTATGCTTCCACCATACATGTGAAAGTGTATACATGAAGCATTGTTTTGTGTTTGTTCAGATATGGTGCCTCTATTGAATTTTGTGCATCACAGCTGTGCATTAATACATACTCAGCTTTGTCGACCTTGAAAGCTGTGTGTGCAGTGTGTGCATGTTAACGTGCATTTGTTTTGTGCCACTCTAGGAGAGGGAAAGGAGGAGGCAACATGTAATGCTGATGAAGGCTGTTGAGGCTCGCAAGAAAGCAGAGGTAGCCCTTATGCACACGAGCGAACGCAGAAACACGCGCATCCACAGTCCACTCCATAAAACTTGCCAAAGCCATTATTCCCTCTATGGATTTCTGCTTTTCCCCCTTTTATGTGCACTCTCTTCCTTCATTCTCGCTTTTTTTCTGCGCTCTTACCAAATGAAAAGATTCTAGCCCTCAAGCACTTTTCCTTTGAATGCGCAGCAGCATTAGGCTGAATTCTAACACTGCTCTGCAAAGTCAAGTAAACCTTCTTGTCTTTTTTTTTCACACACATGCAAATGACCCCACTTGCTTTGCTTCCCTAATGCTCCCTTGAATTTTTGGACTGTCCAGGAGCGTGAACGCTTGCGGCAGGAGAAAAGGGATGAGAAGCGTTTGAATAAAGAGCGCAAACTGGAACAACGGCGGATGGAGTTGGAGATAGCAAGAGAGCTGAAGAAGCCAAATGAAGACATGTGTCTGTCCGACCATAAGGTTGTCCATTATCATCATTATTGTCCTTCCTATTACTAGCACTTGTTATAATTATGGAATGAAGCTGGTTGAGTCGGTGTAAGAGCACATGTTCATGGGCATTTATGTATGGGACTGTGTGCCCCCAAGTGGTTACAGAAAAATATTGCAAAATGAGGAAAATAGCCTGCCATTACCGTGAACTGAAAAATATCATCAATCAGTGAAAAAACCTGACGGCTTCTTTGTTCTCTACCACCGTCATCAGAATAATTATTTTGTGCTCTTCCCGTTGCATTGCTGGTTATCTGTGAAAACAGCTGTGTTTCCAAACTTTATCTTCTTTCCTTGTCTGTGTCCAGGCTCTCCCAGAGTTCTCCCGGATTCCTGGTCTCATCCTTCCTGGACGGGCTGTGTCCGACTGCCTGATGCTGATGCACTTCTTGCGAGGCTTTGGCAAAGTGTTGGGTCTTGATTTGAATGCGGATGTGCCTACCTTGGGAATGCTACAGGAGGGCCTACTCAATGTGGGGGACAGCATGGGCCAAGTTCAAGACCTTCTGGTCAAACTGCTCTCGCTGGCAGTCTGTGATCCCGGTTTGCCAGCCGGGCACAAGGTGAGCAACCCTAGAAGGCATTAAGTTGTGCTCTGGACTGGTGATACTAACTTAAACATTGCACATGAGAGGAAAAGTATCTTACCGGATACTATTTTAGGGATTACATTAAAGATGATTATAGTTGTTACCAAACATATTGCATTTCACACAGCACATGACACTAATCGTATTAACCGAGCAATACATGCAGATGTGGTATTTAAAAATGGGCACAAAATCATTCATTTAATAAAAACTAATGCTGAGTTTAGTTTTTTAGATTATATTATGGAAAACTTTATAAATGAGTGCTGAAATGGTTGTCATATCCTTCTTTTTCAGACTAAAACAATGCTGGGAGACCACCTGACCAATGTTGGCATCAATAGGGATAACGTCTCTGAGGTGCTACAGATGTACATGGGAGCTCATTGTGTCAACACAGATCTGGCTCTTCTGGCCCTCAGTCTGAAAACCAAAGCCTTCCAGGCTCACACGCCAGCCCAGAAGGCCTCAATCCTCGGGTTCTTGGCCAATGAGCTGGCCTGCAGCAAAGCTGTCATCAGGTAAGGAAAGCATCAGAAATGAATAATTGGGAAGTCAGATTAAGCACTGCTGACTTACCTTGATATCCTCTATCACCAGATGGGTATACAGCACTTTGCAGCACTATATCTCTCTATGGAGTAACAGATGTAAAACAAGGAATTAAAAATCTAACATGTATAAACTGCTATCACACGCTGAAAGCTATATTAATGTAACAAATGTGTTATTCAAACTACTCATTTGTAACTAATAGATGTATGTTTATTGATGGAGTGGGAAACAATTAATAAAGCTGCAGTGGGGAGCAGCCTATTAATTTGTGCTCTGTAATACCAGCAGTTACATTGTGTTTTCCCTTCTGGTTGGATCAGCCTTTCTGAACTTTCTCACACTTTGGTTGTTTCACATCAGCAACACCTAAATGAACACAACTGTGTTTCCTCTTATAGTGAGATTGACAAGAACTTGGATCAAATGGCAAACATGAGGAAGGACAAAATCATCATGGAGGGAAAACTGAAGAAGTAGGTTTTTTCTCCCCCCCTTAGAGGTAACGCTTTAACGTTTTAAGCATCACGCCTAACCTGTGCCTCTGTTGGCAGGCTGAGGACCATTTATGCCAAGCGAACTGGAAGGAGGGAGGCCAGCATGGGTGCGGAAGAAAACCACTCTGTTGGCACGCCGTCGTCCGCCGCCAAACGCAAGAGGAAGCTGGGAGCAGACAGTGAAGACGACGACGACGACGATGACGACAGTGACGATCCGGCGGAGGACGAGGAGGATGAGGAGGTGGAGGAAATAAAAAAGGTTAAAAAAGTGGAGACGTACGATGAGGTAAAATGAAAAAAGCCGTCCTAAGCAAACATAATCCACCGACACCTTGTGCAGTCATTCACACGTGTGAACTGTGTGTGTTTCGTCCCATCAGGAAGACGTTGATCATGCTACCAGTATCGAGGAGCTGGAAAAGCAAATCGAGAAATTAGCCAAGGTTTGCACTTCACTACAATGTACACGTGTTATAGCAAAGCTAACGTAGCACATAGTGAGATTAAAAAAAAGTCTCATGGGAAAGGAAATATACAGACATTAATCACAGAAACATGGGGTATTATTGTTTTATGAACATTAGGGGGGTACCGCAGGAAACCCCCATGAGAGAATTTGCTTATATTCATGATGATAAGCACATTTCCGAAAATAGCTGGAAGCTATAAATGATTTACATTAGTATGAATTGAAAGAAAATGGGTATATTGTACATTGTATGAACATGTGTGCTGACATAGAGCTATTTGCTAATGAAGGCATTCATTAACTTAATAAATTACCTCATTAGCATAGCGTGGAACACTCATTATATCACAGGGATAATAAAAGGACATCAAGCATCTCAGACGTTTTTTTTAATTGTCTGTTGGAATCATAGTGTGTTTAATTTCTTTGCAGCAACACCATCAGACCAGGAGAAAGCTGTTTGAGATTTCCCACTCTTTACGCTGCATGATGTACGGACAAGACCGGTACCGGCGCCGGTACTGGGTGCTGCCCCACTGTGGAGGGGTCTTTATTGAAGCCATGGAGAGCGGAGAAGGTAGCTTAGCTCAGCCCTAAATAAAAAGTATTTAAGGAAATAATTTGCTGTGGAAACATCAGCGAGCTGTTTTTGCCAGTGTGAAATATGCTGACAGTGTTTCACCTCATTGTAATTACTAAAGACTCATTTGCGATTTCATCGTGAAAGCGTGGCATTAACGCAGCTCTGCTTTTCTCCAATTAGCAATTCTAGGATAATTTGATCATTTCAGTCCCCAGTTTTAACACCACGTTTCAAAATGCGCTCTGTCATTTTTCCACAGCTCCAGAGGAGCTGGAGGAGGAGCGGCAGAGAAGGAAAAGAGCGGCAGAGGAGGTCAAGGTGAAAGAAGAACCACAGGAGATTGAATTGCAGAAGGAGAAATCTGTCAGCCATGATGGACAGAACATTCACACACCCAGCCTGGAGAAACAGAAGGAGGAGGAAAAGGAGCACAATGGGAAGAAAAGCTCTCAGTCCCTCTTCTACCAGCAGCCCAGCTGTGTTTCTAAACTGTGCACGCTCCGAGACTTCAGCCCGGATGCCAGCGATGAGTCTGTGAAGGCAGAGAACAAGGGGAGTCCCCACATGAGACAGAACGGCAGTCCCATGGGCACTCCTATCGCCACAAACACAGCAGCATCATCCTCCCCGAGTCCCAATACTCCCGAGCCTGCCGCGGCAACAACTCCCTCCATGGTGACCGCTAATGACACCGCAAACATCCTTCCTCCTGCCTCCACCTCCTTATCTTTCCCCTGCCTGCCAGCTCCTCGTGAAAGCCCAGGGAACACTCCTCCGACGTCGTCCCCGGCCCCATCTCCTCTCCTCTCATTCCAAGCCAACGACCAGCTGCTGAGAGTCCTCACCGAGAGGAGTGGACACTGGTTCAGTCTGCTGCCCCGAAACCCCTGCGACCTGGCCTCCCTCACCACCAGTCCACCGGGAGTACCTCGCGGGTCTCCCCAGGCCTCCTCCACCCCCGGCAGACCCCGGTCCCCCCCTCCATCCCCTGCCCTCCCTCTCACCCCTTCTGCTGCCTCTGCCTCTGCCAGCCCACACCACCCAGCCGGCCTCCTCAATTACCCGCTCTCTGCCCTGCAGGTGAGGCCGATGGCCGGAACGGCTGCACAGCTGCTCCTCTCCACCTACTCGATGTATAACCAGCTGCTTATCCCGCTTCCCTTCCAGGTGAAGTCAGGTGGCTCGCTGCTCGGAGTTTCTTTCGGAAGTTGGCCCAGTGGCATGATGAGTCCCAGCCTGCCTCTGTGCAGCAGCCCCAGTCCCATGCCGGGTCACTCCCTGGAGGGGAACACGGCCGCGAGCGTCTCCAGTAAGAGCGAATCACCTTTACCTCGCATTGAAAAAAGCTCGTCAATGCCCTCCCCTGCTTTGGAAATGCCAAAGTCCCTCGACCACGCCACGGCTCGGCCCATCCCTGAAGGTGAGTGTCAAAAACGCTGGAAGAGATTTGAGCTGAAGCCCCACTTAGATATGATTGCCATTCAAAAGTATCCACCTGCCTGAAGATATTTGACCTGTCTTTTAGAAGAAGATAATTGGATCAGTCAGCGTTCTGCACTGCCCACACCTAATTTCATAGAATTGAATCCTGACTGAAATACCATTTTTTTACATTGATCAGTCCTCTGATCTAACTTGGCTATCTGCCCCCACCCTCACAGAGATGCTGACCGGCTGGTGGCGAGTGTCCGACATAGAAGAGCTGAGGGCTCTTGTCAGTGCCCTGCACAGCCGAGGAATCAGAGAGAAGTGCCTGCAGAGGCAGGTGCAGAAGTATCTAGAGATCATCCCTCAGGTCTGCACCAAACACAGAGACGGTAAGTGAAGCACCATTAACCAGAACTGGCCTGCCTGCGCACACGTTCGCCATCTTTTCTGAGTTTTTTGGTGTCCGGCTGACTGACTTCTTGTCACGCGATTTGTCTAGTGGCCATGATCGAGCTCCGTGAGCTGGAGGAGAGTCAGGTCAGCGTGGAGTCGGTGCGGGGCTGGTGTGTGGAGGAGCAGGCCATGGAGATGGACATCGCTGTGCTGCAGCAGGTGGAGGAACTGGAGAGGAAAGTCACTGCGGCCAGCCTCCAGGTCAAGGTGACCATAAAACGCCTGAACATGACTGCTCTTCAATGAGTTTTGAGAGCAGATTTAAAAAAAAGAGGTTTGCTTTAAACAGGGAGAGCAGCGGGAAGCCAGAGGGTCTCACAGCGGATTCTCTTCCCAGGGCTGGACTTATCCGGACCCTCAGTCCGAGCGGGAAGACTTGGTTTACTACGAACACAAGCCCCTGGCCAAATCAATGCCAGCTTCAGGAAGCACAGCAGACAAAGACTCCAGGGAGCACCCGGAGGACCGCGGGGAGAAGGGCGGGGTGATGCGTCACCCGGACAACCCGCTGGACATAGCAGTGACCCGTCTGGCCGATCTGGAGCGCAACATCGAGAGAAGGTACCTGAGGAGCCCCTTAGGTACCACCATTCAGATCAGGCTGGATAATGTGGGTACGGTCACTGTCCCTGCCCCCGCCCCATCCACTAGTGCTGACAGGGAAGGGTAGGTCATTTCTCCAACCAAAGCACCCCACTCTCCCACTAAGCCCGTCTCCTGTGCGTGTGTGTGCGTGTGTGTGTGCTTTGTGTTTCCCACATTCTCACAAGAGGATCATTGGCTGAGTTTTGTGTCGGCTTTTTTTGCATTTGTGTTTCGGTTTGTTTTGGGGTTTTTGTTTGGCCTTGTGCTGTGTTTTAGGTGGCCGGGGCTCCACTCCGTTTTTCTGTTTACTGGTGGTGTGTTTTTTTGTTCCTACAGTCATCTGCATGGTGTAAATCCCCCTGTGACCTCATTTATCGGTATACTTATGGCTCCCAATAAACAGTACATACTTACTCTTCTGCATGAGCATCCCCCTTTTACATGACAAAATCGCTGTGCACCCCACCTCCCTCCAATCCTCATGCCTGCCTCTGCACAGCTGGAGCTCTTAATGGTCTGCTGTCTTCTTGGCAACTGGTGTCACAGACTCTGGACTTATTTGTGCGCGTGCGTGTGTGTGTGTGAGTGTGTGTGTGTTTGTGTCCGCATTTTCATTTCTGCTGGTGCGCTTTGTGAATTTTCATCAACCTGTCCTGTCTCAGTGGGGAGGAGGAGGTGGCTCACGGCATGAAGGTGTGGAGGAAGGCCCTGAGCGAGGTGCGCAGCGCCGCCCAGCTGGCCATGTGCATCCAGCAGCTGCAGAAGTCCATCGCCTGGGAGAGGTCCATCATGAAAGTGGTGAGCAAAAATATCCCGCAGGTCGAAAAAAACACACAGTTCGGGGAAAGGGCGTGCCCGTTTTGAGTGCCCTGCTCTCTCCGTTTGCAGTACTGTCAGATGTGCAAGAAGGGGGACAACGAGGACCTGCTGCTTTTGTGTGACGGCTGCGACAAAGGCTGCCACACTTACTGTCACAAACCCAAGATCACCAGCATCCCAGAAGGAGACTGGTACTGCCCAGCGTGCATTTCCAAGGTAACCAGAAAGAGCCGAATCAATCGTACTAAACACATTTTGTGTTTTGTCTGTCTGCGTTTTAAAGTGAGAACATGTTTCAATTAAAGCTGCCAGTGGGAAAAAGGTTTATTCTTTTAACTGGAGGAATAAATTGCTCCAGGTCTTATATTACCATGTTTAATTTGCATCTAAACGTCTGCAATCATTTGTTGTTGTACAGGCAAGCGGCCCATCGCCTAAAAGCAAAAAGCCTCCGGCCAAACCGGTAGCCTCCAGCGGGGGAGGAGGGAAAAAAGGCGGCGAGGCGAAGAAGAACGGGAAGCAGACGGGCAACGGGGAAGTGTCCGAGGAGGACTCAGCCAGCGCCAGCAGCACGCCCAAGAAAGGAGCGAAAGACACCAGCAGGAAGAGGAAAGCAGAGGAGAGTTCACCTGCTCTCACACCGGCCAATCAGGAGAGCCCTGTGTGTGTGAAACGAGCCAAGACGGCCCGAGACAACAACAGGGACCTGGGATTATGCAGGTATGTGTTCCCGGCCTGCTCGTGCTTGTCTTTTTTGTTGGATTCCTCTTTTATCTGAAGCCCTCTTTCACTTTTAGTTTGAATTCAAATTTTAAAATTGACATCATAAACTATCATATATTGTATCTTTTGCAGGAAGTTTTCAGTCCTAAACTTGTTCATTTGTTGTCAATAAAACAGCAAGGATCATTAAATTTGACTTTAAAGCTCCAATTACTAGTTGGTTGGTTGCTTGTTGGCGTCACTAACAAAGCTGAAATAGTAATCACTGTTTAAGTAGTAGCAGCAGCCTGTTAGTAGAGCTGTGGTTCAAACAAAGTTTGTTTCGAAAAGCCATTTGAACATAGAGCTGCACCTGAAGCCTGAGCTTGCTCCGACAAGAAACTCTGCAAAAGACCGAGCAGAGTTTGTTTAAACCACTTTACGTATATCCACTCTGAGTCAAGTGCATGTTTTGACAATCAAATGCATTAAAGGGTGCAGTTGATTCCATGTTAGAGCAATTAAGCTGCACCCTTTATAGAACACAGAGTGTGTGGGATCGTGAGCAGTCACAAAGGTGAACTGGTAAACTGGTTCTTCGAGGGGGAAGTGCCAATCAAAGTGTTGCAAAAACACAACGTTTCAACTTGATCTGACATGATATGAAGAATAATTCACAGTGAACCATAATCAGTGTTTTTTGGGGGGGGTGAATTGATAATATAATAACCCATTTTAATGAGTTAGGAGATAAAATGAACATTGACTTCAGGTTCAGTGGGACAGAAACATTTAGTGTTGGGAAAAAATGGGAGTTACTGGTCTTTATAAGATATAAAACAAATGTTAGTCTGAAGTAAACCTCATAATAGCAAACCAATGCTATTTTAGTCTATTACTGCGTGAAAACGGTGATCTTAAAGAAGCTGGTTATCTACAGCTGCATTGTCACATGATCACTAGAGTAGTCCCTCAATATAAAAACAGTGACGGCTGTTTAAAATTAAGAGGAAATTCGAGGAGAACCCACATTATTTCTGTCCTATCCGAGGGGGTTTTTTCTTTCACAGATGATGTAACGTTCTCCTCTGTGTGCATGTGTTCCCGGTAGGGTGCTTCTCGCTGAGTTGGAGCGGCATCAGGACGCGTGGCCCTTCCTGACGCCTGTCAACCTGAAATCGGTGCCCGGTTACCGGAAGGTCATCAAGAAACCAATGGACTTCTCCACCATACGCGAGAAGCTCGTGAGCAGCCAGTGAGTTCCCGTCTGTCCGTGTTCTTGTCCTTCCCAAGTCAGAGTGCTGTTCACCAGAGAATAGGTTGTAGCAGCAGCTGAGGATGTGAGGCAGCGTCTGACCTTTGAGTCCTTTTTATGTTTCAGGTATCAGAACCTGGAGACTTTCATCATCGACGTCAACTTGGTCTTTGATAACTGCGAGAAGTTCAACGAGGACAATTCGGACATTGGTCGAGCCGGTCACAACATGAGGAAGTTCTTCGAGAAGCGCTGGACTGAGCTTCTGAAACAAACAAACTAAGTCAGTTTGGACTCTTCCCGTGGACCCATTCGACTTTTGATATCGGAGCACCTGGTTTCACTTGATTTTCTGACGGAGGAGAAGGTCAGCCTCTGCTAAGGAACCCGCGCGCCGCAAAGAGTCGTCACCCTGAAAAATGTCTAAAAAAAACATGAAAAAAGAGAAAAAAATAAGTTGTTACATGATGTGCGCTGGATTTATTACAACAGGGATAAAAGCCCCAAAGAGTCCCAGAGAAATGGGGTGTCCGAGTGCAATACCATTCCCTGTCTCAGAACACTGCACTGAATGAATCCTCAAATGTCACTGATGTATCTGCTCTAGAATACTTTCCACTACTTGTAAATAGTCTTTTGTTATTTAATCGTATTATAGTGAATGTATTTAATTTTGTAATAATTATTTATGAATCAAGGTCCACTTCATTTTCTATGAAAAGGAGGAATCATCAGAACTGCTTTGAATTAAAAAAAAAAAGGAATGTGTCTTTGTGTTATAATTTTTCTCCAAAATATCAAACAAAGCCAAGACAAAAAAAAAAAAACTGTTTACACTGTTCAGTGCTTTGAGGCATCTGAGGACTGTATTCATTTGTTCAAACTGTAAAACTGCATTTATTTACAGGAACAGCAGAGGAACAGTTAGACAATGGTGATTCTTGTGTATATACTGTTTATTAATGTCAATATTATGTCTTGTTTGGAACGATGTGTAAAAATTGTTTAAGAATATTAAGATATTGTTTATGCCTTAGAATGATTGTAGCATTCTATTTTAGTGACCGTGATGAAAACATTATCATAAATATTGTTTGTACAGTATATACATATCCTCTGCAAACACTGTGGTATCCTTAATCTTGGTAGTGCCTACCCTTCCAACAGGGGCATGTAGGGGATGTTCTTGTTTTTAGTTTTCATTCTTATAACGATTATTTTTTTAATATGATTTCAATCCAAAAAGGCCTCCAAAGTTGGACAGTGACACAGAAATCATTCCTCACCATAGCAGACAAAAAAAAAGGAGCAACTAGCATTCGGTTATGCTTCCACAACGCATTTCCTCGTAATCTGCCACAATACAGAGGACCTAAGGCCATTTGTAACCACTGTGTTGAACCTTGCTGTGTGTTGTGGCCTGATGGAGGCAGCTAGATTTTTTTGTACCCAAGTCAAAAGTACTTGAAGTTACTTTATTTAAGATATTGTGGAATAAAAGTATCATTCTTTTGTAGGAGCTTTATTTTTCACTAGTGTGTGGCACGGACCTATTAAAAGGATGTTTTTCAACGTAAGTGACTTAACCTTGTTTTATTTCAGTTCCACTGCACTGTTCTGCTTTTGTCAAAGGAAAGAGGTTAATCAAGTTGAATCATGCGTCGCCATAGATGACCTCACAAAATACATCTAGAGCCAAAAGAAGAGTTACACGTGGATAGATAGTGACTTTATTGATACTATCTGAAGATCGCGCCAAGACCGAAAAGCATCGGAACAAATAAGAATTACATAAAACATTCTAATCTAATTAAAACCCACATGACTTACTGTCTGATATCTGACCAACACGGGAAACCTTTGGCTCTTAATTGTATGCTGATCACAAAGCCAAAACCAGGTGTGACACATGGAGCATGCAGGCCAGAAAATTCGCAACTTATCGTCTAAAAAACATCGAAGCAAGGTGGCAAAAGAATAACTATAGAAAGGAAAACGGGAACCTACATGAAAAAACAAGAACTCTTCAACTCTGAAACTGTGACTCACATTATGTGAGACAAGTGAGGGCCTGTTGTTCTAAAGGTCATAATTTCTAAGTCATAAAAGGATAATGCATGTTTCAGACTAGATCAAAGGTTTAAACCTGTTCAAGGCCCTTTTCAGAGAGTTCTGTGAAGTATTTCCTCAAAAACAAAATAAATTCCTCCTTTAAAAGACAATATGGTCTTCCTTTAGGGGTCATTTAAAGCAAACTGTCTATTTCTTTTACATTACAAAACCATTTTGAAGTTTTATTTCTTTCCTGAATGTGTCTCAATCTTAATTAGTAATCGACTACTCCTTAAACAGAAAAGACAACTTTCCTTCGAGTTGAGTGGTAGAGAAATGGACACTAACCCATAGTAAAATGGAAAGCTGACTCCAAATTAATGTACCTTTGCACATGTTTACAGTATCCCAGCACTCAATTGACACAAGTGCCTGGACTGTGGGGGGAGGGAGGGAGCTCCAGCCTCACATAGTTTTTCTTGTCATTGCAAGAAAAGTTCAATATAAACGAAAGGAATAAAACTCAGTCTGTTACTATGTCTACGTTTTGACTTTGGTTCGAATCTCCCACAGTTCATGAGGAAAACTGAAACTCGTGATAACTTGTTCTGTTTCCATTTTCCGAGGTCAGAGAACGCACCATGATCTGACAATGACGCGGTGGTCAGCTGATCGATGCGGAAGTAAACACCGGAGACAACAGGCAGCACAACGCAGAAACGTTAAGAAACGCCTCTGCTGGAGTCAGCGGACATCACAGTTACATTTCTTCGGGTTTCCTATCCGGGTTTGCCACTTTTTTTCCTGTAGTTCCTCGAGCCTGAGAGTAAATACCCACATATTTGGTTTGTTAACGATCTAAGATGATGTCATTTTTCAAATATACGATCGTGTGTAAGAGCAAACGTTGTGTTTCACATCAGCTACCGGTCAGTGATCAGGTTCATTACGGAAATTAAATACACCCTAAAGCAGCTGCCAGTGTTTAAGGTTAGAAATGAGAAGAACCAGCTTTTTGACACCTAGTCTATCTGTGTTTTAAACTAACATTTTCGAAATGTTTTGCCATCACAATACAGCATCGAAAAATAATCTGACAAACATTATTATATCGGTGCTTTCATTTTTCAAATGCATGATAAGTTTAACCTATAAAAAATCTAAAATCATAAATTTGACGACGAAACATTTTAAAATAGTACCCCTAATGTCTACAATGCACAAAACACAAGCCAATGAAAGTTATGAACAAAATAAATCATCAGTATTTTGCTTATCATTATTATTATTTGATAAATTATACAGATTTAGGTTATAAATAGGCACATTTATCACCAGCACTGATGACTGTTTTGCCTGTTTAGTCATATGTGAGGTGGTATAGTGAAGTCATGGGGCAGGCGGGAGCAACCAGGTCATAGAAATCGCAGACTTTGAAAACTGATATTTTGAAGGGGAAAAAAGAGCATTTCAGACCACAACTTGGTGCTTGATTTGGCTTTGTTAGAACACAGTGTGAGAACACTGTGTGCTGATCAGAGGCACAGTTAGTAATACTGACTACGCCTCTTTTCTCTCAAATCTTTTGTAACCAAATGAAGCCGTTTCCTTTAAAACAAAGGCCCAGGGGGCCACAAAAAATATTAATACCAATCTTTTCATGGATAAGGGAGCCCAACCAGCTAAACAAGAGTTAAGAAAACATTGGATGATAAAAGATTGTTTTTAGGGTATTTTATGGCTGATTTAATAGACGGGTCCAAAATGACCCGCTAACACTACAGATGGCAGCAGAAAGCTAACACCAGAGGAAGGTTAACCTGATGCCCGGATCAGGGTTTTTGATATGAATAACCTATGCCCCTTTTCCATGCTGATTTGAATGGTCTCCTCCATTTGATTTCAGGTCCTGCTGTCTAAATGGCATCTCTGATTTGTACTCTACAACACCATCAAGATGACGTCAACTGGTGTGCCTTCTCAGCCAAACTGTTGGCCACGTGTTCCGGGGACAAAACCCTCCGGGTGTACAACGCCCGGGACTTCTCGGAGCTGCCCTTCTCGCCGCTGACCGGCCACGGCTACAGCGTCCACTGCTGCTGCTTCAGCGCCTGCGGCCACTTCCTGGCCTCGTGCTCCACGGACGCCACCGTGGTGGTCTGGTCCATGCTCTCCGGGGACATCGAGGCCGTCCTGGAGCATCCCGGCCGCAGCCCCGTCCGGATCTGCGCGCTCTCTCCCGACTCCGCTCACCTGCTCTCCGGGGCGTCCGACGGCACTCTGGCGCTTTGGGATTTCCCCTCCAAACAACTGCGCAGGTAAAGTGTAAGGCTGCATTTTCTCAGAAAACCCGAGATAAACACTTGATTTCTAAAATGCTGATACAGCCTCATAAAAAGACTGAATTACACACACTTAAATGGTAAAATTTTACTTTACAAGGTCATGAATTTAGGGAAAAACATTCTCAGAAGAACAAGAGAGTGTAAAATAAGGAAATACACTCTAGAAAGTTTTCAATCTTTCCAGGAGTGGAAGCCCCACCAGGTTTCTACCCAAGTCCAGATGGCATTTTGCCTGGAGAAATAGCCCAAAAGAATTAGACAGCAGCTTTAGCTCAGACTCTACAGGCTTCTGCTAGCAATTTAAATGGTGAACTTTATTATGGCGCAGAAAAAAGTCTGAAGAAGTACAATGTGTGGCTGTTTTAGGACAAAGTCTCTTCTCTCGAAAAAGGGACGTGTCAGAACTGCTCTTAAAGTTTTTAGATAAAGACTTGAATCAGTTTTAAGAAAAAAAGTTCTCAGTTAACTGTGTAAATAATCTTTTCATTTCTAAAGTAAGTCCTAGAAGAAATTTAAACCGGGGGTTAGAAGCTTTATGATATTTACTTTGATAGGAATTTCTAGATTCTGAGTAAGAAATTATTAAATATGGTTGGTTGGTATCCGTCAATTTATTTTTCATTTTTTTCCCCCCAATAGAACCTATAGTGAGGCCCAACTGAACTGAAATGCCATAGCTGGCGTCTCTCCTTGCAACGTTTTGCTGGGCTTCTTCAGCTTTGGCCTCGCGTGTATTCGGACTTTCTGCTGTTTTGTCTGTGAAGGACCGGGGGGGTGAGCGACACCACGATGGTGGCCGCCTGCTTCAGCCCCTGCGGCCAGATGTTTGCCACGGGCTCCACCTACGGGGACCTGCGCCTGTGGGACCTGAGCATGAACCAGCTCCACGCCGAGAAGAACGCGCACGATCTTGGCGTGTCCGGCTGCCACTTCGCCCCCGCCATCCTGAGCGGTGAGACGGGACCCGGGCCGGTGCCCATCGGTTCAAAAGCTGTTGTTGTGGTTTCCAACCACTTAAAAAAATCATTTTACAGTGAGAATAAAACCCAAATCATGTTATCCCTTACTTGCTCTTTACTTTACATTGTGACAGGAACGTGATTTACGCCGTGTGGGCTCATTTTACCCATGAAAATCGAATCCTCTAATCAGACGGTGGCTGTAATTATGTATTGAACTCTTTTGGCTTCAGATAGACTGGAAATCAGATACGTTTAAATTGAACGGATGGCGATTACGGAGATAAAGTGTCTGTAAAAATGTGTGTTTGCTTCATCTCTGACCTCCCCACACCCACGGGTCTATCAGACGGGTTTAACATAAATTGTGCGTGTCAGTCTCACACACACACACACACACAGTGTACACCTGCCAGCCATCATTATGGTAGATGAGGTGGGGTGGGGGGGGGTTACTGTGAGACTGACAGCATCAGTGATGTCGTGTGATGAGGAGGTGGGTGGAGCACAGCTGCTCAGAGTTCTCCCCAAAGCAGCCGCCTGACTCCTTTTTTTTTGTCTTTTTTTTTTTGTTTGTCTCTCAGGTGGTCAGTTGGTGCAGTTCCGCCTGGCGTCCTGTGGACAGGACTGCCACCTGAAGATCTGGGCAGTTAACAAGTTTACCTCCGGAGGTACGCCGCCGCGTGGTTAGACTCCAGAGAAAACTGTTAACTGAACACTCTAAATGTCCCCCTAGGAGGGAATGTGAGTGTGTGTGTGTGTGGTTGTTTGTCTCTGTGTGCGGCCCTGTGCGGGATGTGCCCCGCTTCTCTGGGATTAGCAGACAACATCAAGGTTAAATTGATATCAGGGGAGTTCAAGAAGAGAAAGAATGGACCTGATTCGTAAAAAAAGGAACCAGAGAAAAGGAGCTGGTGATCCTCATCGGGTTGTGAAACGTCACTGATCCTCTGAAGAGACCGGAGTCCAAGAGTTAGAAGGAAAGGAAAAGTGGGTAACTTTTAAACTTCTGAATAGCTGAGGGGGCCTCTCTCACGTTGGCTCCAGCATCCCACCGGTAAGAAGAGCGTAGCTTGTTGAATAAATATCACGTGAGCGCTAGCTAGCTCACTCTAAAGGCGGACTTTTAAGCCCCACCAGTTGACGCTATCGTTTTAGAAGCTCTCCTGGTAGATCTGAGAGTGCTTTTCCTGCGCTGGGAGGCCTCATGCATCTTTAATGGTGGACAAAGCTCCACCCGGCAGGTGGTCTGCACCGTGGACAGTCTGAGCCTCTCCCCTCAGCACGTTCTGTACTCCGGAGGAAGAGGAGGAGGAGGAGGAGGAGCAGGCCCGAGGCGGAATATTAACGGGCTCAGCTTTATCACGGGCACAGTTTGAGTGCAGTTTGTCATAAATCAGCACCGATGAATCAAACGGAGACAAACGGCCGCTGCTGTCCAGTTACCGGGGAGATTTATTTGAGATAAATCCCCGGCACCCGCCAGTCCACTACCCTTTAGTTGGAATGTTTTCACTCCGGTGTGTGTTAAATCTCCTTTTTTCTGTGTTCATCGTGCTCCTCTCAGACGTTTGTCCCCGGTTTCAGGCTGTAAGCTGCAGCTCCTGCACACGCTGACCGGCCAGTCGGCCCCCGTCCTCTGCTGCGCCTTCTCCCCCGACGGCCGGCTGCTCGTGTCCGGGTAAGATCTTTGCTTTGAGGAAAACACGGGGGGCCTTTTTCTTCCCCCCCCTGACATTTCCAAAGCGGGTATTGGCGACTGATCACAAACTTTTAGGTCGCCGAGCAGCTGATTAGGGGAAACTAACGAGCCAGACGCGCTAGATGTTCAAACGCCAGTCCAAAGTCTTCATGTTATTGCTTCATTTGATCTTCAGGTATCCAACATTAAACACGTCACAGTTCACAGCAAACTTGACTCGATCAGATCTAAAACCATAAGGTGTAAAGAGTAAAGCATAAAGCGCATAGCGTATAGCGGTCAGCAAAAAAGTAGGCTTCCCCCATCACCCACTCACTACTAAAACTGTCACCTTGCGAGTGAACAGGTGATTTCAAATGCTACCGCTCCAACACCACCCGACCAATCAGTGCCGTCATCACTATGGCACGCCCACACCCATTCTATCCACCACAGCGGGCTTGGACGTCTCTCCTGCTTTCCAGGCCGCGCTTATCCACTGCCATTAAAATCACAGAGTGATTTGAAACGTGCTGATAATTGCCGGAAAATTCCAAAGATAATATTAAACTCTGTTTGTATAGGGTTTGCAGTTTACAGGGAGAAACTTTGTGATCAGGGCAGTCGTTTAAATTCAGGCCCCTGCGACTCTCCGAATCGTATTTTCCAGTTTCCTCTTTTCCTGAGTAGAAGTTATACATTCATTGTGCTTAATCAGGCGGAATCTAGAAGCCCATCCTTATGTTGCTTTCACGGACATAATTAATGCAGTCACACTGACTGCCTCCAGATAATTCACGGTTTCTCGGCCATATGCGGAATCCACATTTCAAACCATTCTGTTGATCTTAATTAGGTCAGTCCTCACGTCTTGATCTATTTAGGATCAAGAGATTGATGTAAAATATAGATTGTTTGTTTGCCTGAGCGTGTGGAGTAAGTAGGCCACCTTCTGTCCGGAGAGAGCCACGCAGTGAGCCGACGGGGCCACTAGAGGGAGACATGGATCGCTTTATTCCTTACAGAGCGAATATGTGAACCTCGGAAATTGCACCAAGCTTTTCTGAAGGTTGTTTAAACCCTGCTGGCATAGTTAAGATGTTACATTTCTGTGTCCCCCCCCCCCCAGTTCTGTGGACAAGAGCATTGCAATCTATGACGCAGTGAGTATTTCTCCCTTTTTCTGCTTTGTGCCGAGCAGCATTTGCTTTTTTTGCCTCCAACTGTTCCCATATTTCTCCTTTTTCTCCTTTCAGACTAACGCGGTTTTACTTTACACCCTCAACCAGCATGAGAGGTAAATATTCATCCGCATTCATTATGTTTGGTTTACCGGATGCTTTTATTGATTCTACCAAAGCAAACCCACACTTGCTTCCCCGGATTTGTAAGAGCAAATGCTGGAGCTAGAGTTACTGAGCAAATGTTTGTCTTTAGAATAGTTTTTCTGACTTTGCGCAGTAGATTGGAATCCTGCAGAAATTCTCTTTTTATTAAACGTGAACACCTACGACTTATTTTTTTCAGTTTTTTTGTTGTTAAAGATAGGCCCACGCTAAACGTATCTTCCACTGTGCATAAAAGTCCCAGATGAGTGATCACAGAAGCAGTTTGCTCCTGGATCCAGCCACCTGTGCCTGAAAGGCTTCAGGCTCTTTTTCAGAGGGCCAAACAAAATGCGCTTTTGGAAAACCGACTGAAGTGGAAGCGGGATAAAAAACCCAAAAAGTAAATGAAAACTTTACACAAAATAGGACCTTATTTTACTTTAAGTCAGAGAGTGTCTCTCTGTTAGGTTAGTGTTAGCGCTTTTTTTTTTCCCAGTACGTGATTTTAAGTCACATCTGTGGATAAACATTTCTCTTCAATCCCGCTCAGGTTTTTAGGGAGATTATCCTCATTAACTTGGCCTCGACTTTCTTGAATCAACTGGACATGTTATTTTAATCCTGATTAGAATCTTTAATGCAGCCTGGGATGTGGTAAGCCAGCACTGAAAAGGCCCCTGATGGAGTTCAGTTCAGCTCTACAGAGTTTAGGTGTGTTTTCCACCCTATGGGAGCTGTTTCTGCCAAAAACGGCCCAGAACAGCAAGATATAGGCTCAAGCTTCCTTTTCCCCATCACTCAGAGTCTCTTTCATGTATTCATGGTATGATTTTTCAAAGACGTGTATACTTTTTTATGGCTTTCTTTTTTCTATTTGAAATGCTAAACACAACACTTAGCTAACAAGGCCCACATTTCAGGTGATTGTTCCCTCCTGCAGGTATGTAACAGCATGTTCCTTCTCCCCAACCTCACCTCTGATTGCCACGGGGTCTATGGATAAGACTGTGAGCATCTGGAGGCTGGAGGACGGCTGCAGAGGAAACGGTGAGGGGAAAATCAAAAAGAAAAAACCCGCTTGGAGTAACGTCTCCGTCTTAATGCATTTGTCTTTTATGTTTCCCCTCCTAATTGTGGACACCGGTTTCTAAAAAGGAGTGAAGTCACTGCCAGGTTTGTTTTCTTTCTTTTTTTAAAATCTTAAATATCGCCACACTGTTTTGGGTTTCTCTCACTGTCGAAGATCCTTTGTTTTGACATTATTTCACTGTTGACCGACGAGCCCCTCCAGCCGACTGCTCGTGTTTGTGCTGAGATTTCCTGAAATGAAATGACTGCATCTTGTCACGAGGGACTTCTGGCTGCGCTATTTTCCCTTCCAAAGCCTCGAGTGGCTTGAATTTACTTGAAGATTGCGCCGTATTACTGTTCTTTGCTCTAACTCTTTGCTTTTTTATTTGTATTTTCACAGAACAATCTGCACAAACATCAAGTGAAGGTAGGAAGAGGGAGAATGAGTCTCCCTGTAATCTCTTACTCCATGGTAGCTGTAAAACTCATAGCTAAAATCAGTCAAATGTCACAATACTTCAGAATCAGGAAGGTGTCTGTCAGGTGCCAAACGGAAAACTGAAGTGTGCCCCGACCTTAGAGCTTTCTGTCTGCAAAATGCAGACCCGTCATGTGGACGAAAACGTCGATGAGAGCATAATTAAGCATGCCGTGCTAACCACAGCCTGCTAATCAATAGTCAGTCAGCGGGACCCGGGGATGGGCTCACGTGGGGAATATGTGGTCAGTGTAACAGCCGCTGACCCCCTCTCCTCGGCCCGCCCTCTCAGGGAGAGCCCCGGCGCGCAGAGCCAGGCTGCCGGTCGCCGATTGGTCGGAGGAGGACGTGTCAGAGTGGCTGGCGGAGGAGGGCCTCCGGGGATTGGTGGACAAATTCCAGGCCAACAACATCGACGGGACGGAGCTGCTGGGCCTCACCAAGGAAACGCTGGCGTCAGAGCTGCACATAGGTGAGGAACACAAATGTCACACGCTGAGCCACGGGCTTCCGTCTGGGATGACTTAAAGCTGACTTTTATCGGTACTGTGGGGCCATTTCTTTTACCGGTTTCCACGGATGAAAGGCAGCCTGTTTGAATAAAACAGGGTGATGGAATGAATGTTGATGGGGGGGGGGCTTTTCTGTGGAAGATTACATAATATTAGGCCTCGCCACAAAGCACTCAGCTTTGAGGCTTTTTGGCAGGTTTGACTTTAATCTGGAGCACTTTGTGAGTTATGCAACTCAATTCCTGCAAACAGAATTCCCCACGAACTGAAAAGTGGATTTACACCTAATATTATCAAGCTGTCTGAAAGAGTTTTTTTTCTTCCCCATTCCGTGTTGTTGTTTATGATTCTATGAATTCATCTCAGATGGAAACGGCCTCGAGCAGTGATGCCACATGGCTAAATAAGGAGCGCGATGTTGTCGCTGTCAGTCTGGCAGACAGCGTTCGTCATCCAGAGCCCCGGCGAGCGTTCGCCGAGCCGCCATGTCGTCATCTCCATCCCACAGCCGCCGTCAATCACGGCGCGGTTTACACAGCGCCGGTGCGGTGACAGCCCGCGCTCACATTGTTCTGTTTTTAGTAACGCAGCGTGAAGCCCACCTTCTCCCAGATAACTCGCAGAACAGCGCCGGGTATCTCGGTGTCTCATGACAGACACAGAGAGACGGGCATGTTTTTTTTCAAAGGCGGGAGGGAAATCAATAAGTGTGCTGTTCTTCTGAAGAGGCAGCATAACAAACAGAATGTACCGGCAAGTTAGTCCGCCAGTGGAATAATTGTGCTCGGCAGCGTTTAGCTCCATTTTTTATGAGCCTGTTCTTTTTTTTTTCTTTTTCCCCGTCCCTTTTTGTATTCTTCTGTATTCAAACCAAAAATCGTTTTGCTTTGAGCTGGACAGACAGTGTGCAGACGTGGTCTGCTCCCACCACGCTCGCTCTCACCCACGCACACATTTGCCATCCGAGAGCGAAAGGTGCTAAACGCAGGAATGACAAACGCCGGGTAACGCTGGTATTTTTACTCGTGTCTGAGCCGGGGTCAGTTCATCCCGTTCTCCATCGTGAGAGTCCGGCTCTCCCTGTTTATCTTCTCCCCCTTGTTGGTTTAGAGTCGGTCGGCCTGCGGGGCAAACTCCTGAGGAAGGTGGAGGAGCTGAAGAATGATTCGCTGTGTGCGGGCATTCCCGATGAGTTCCTGTGCCCAATCACCAGAGAGCTGATGAGGGACCCAGTTATTGCCGCCGGTATGTAAAGGCCCACAGCCTTTTTTACACAATATTAAAGTTCCTTGTGTTTGTCTTTGCCATTCTCAAAGACCAGCCATTCTCTTTGCCCGCACAGATGGCTACTCGTATGAAAGAGAGGCTATCGAGAGCTGGATCAACACCAAAAACCGCTCCAGCCCCATGACCAACCTGCCCTTACTGACCACTCTGCTCACGCCTAACCACACCCTGAAGATGGCCATCGGCCGCTGGAAGACCTGCCACTAGCACCCGGGACTCTGTTGAAGTGCACCGCATGCTTTACAAGGAGACGGAAACGGGATAAAGAGCTCGAAACATTCCGGGTCCGGGCGTGTTTTGAGTTGAGTTATTCCTTTCGGGGAACCCGTTAAAGAAGCAGCACCGAGAAAAAAAGACTAATCGCATCAACATGCTATAAGCAGCCAGTCCTTTTGGACCACGCAGTCATTGATGGTCGCCTGCAAAAATATTGAAAACGAGCACCCCCAACTTCAGCAATTTAGAGGATTTAACTTGCAGTTCCGTGAAAAAGAAAATGCATCCTCTTTAATTTCTTCATGGTTTCTATATCAGGTTAAAGACAAAAAGAGTCTCGTCATGTTTTGAAATGAGCCAAAAACATCCAGAGATGAACTACAACACGTGACATATTACAGTGTGTCATTACTTATTTCATAACGCAGCGTGTGATGAGTTAATTACACCCTGACTGCTTCCATGTGAGTGAGGAGCAAAAGCAAATGCACTGGCCGAGCGATCGAGCGAGTTTGAGCACTTCTCAGAGAGCAGAGGTGTGGTCAGTTTTGCTGGAGCGGTCAGGTTTGTGCGTCCAAGGAGGAAAGACATCAGCATCAGTCTCAGAGATCTGTTGTTGCTGCCCGGACTCCCGCTTCTTGAGTTCCCCTGCGTCCCTAAGTAACCCAAAGACAAATCAGAGGCCATTTTTCAACCAGCTGTGAAGTGGACTGCGTCCAAATCCATCCTCAGTAACATCCAAATGATAAAACTATTTGAGTTGTTGGTGCTAAAAATGGTTCTACGAGCTGCTGAATTGTGGCTTGCATTTAAGTTTTTCACACAGTATTTTTGCAATCAATCTTAAATTTTGTCACAAACAAATTATTGTAGAGCATAAAATGTTATCCTTTGTTAATCTGAGGTCACTTTGAATCTTTTAATATACGTCATAACATAATTATTCACCTCAGACCTTGTATGCTCAGGAAAGACTCTAATTCTCATGTTAGACTTTCTTTGTCAGACTTGCTGGTAGTTTCACACCTCCTGTAAGTGCTCAACAGAAAACGCAGAATGTCTGCAAATGCTAAAGGCTGCTAAAGCAGAAACTGAGCGCTCGTGAATCAGAGGTGATTTTTCTGGCTCTCTGTGTGTTGCTTAATCCCCTTTTTGAAGGACGAAAAACTGGAAACCATTCACAGATATCCACATTATAAGAATTATTATTCCCTCCTGATGGGAGCAATCTCTCTCATCCATTTAGCGTGAGGCACTGAGTGGCCTCATGAGCATGAAATTAATTAATCGTATGCTGAGGTCTTTACAATAACAAGGTCTGAAGTAAGTTTAGGACACGCTTTATGCACACCTCCCCTCCATCACGACTAAAGCCCTAAGTGAGGGAATGGCTGTAGGAAGAATTGAGTCGGCCCCCTCCATTAGAGTTCAGGAGACGTTCAGAAGCAGGACTGACATTTAAGACGACTGTTATGGCGTTTAAAGTGGTCACTCATTATTTCACCGAGACACTTTATGTTGCTTATTTCTGTAAAGAACAGATAGATGTGCACATCTGATGTCAGAAGCGAGGCCAACAAGGAAGTGTAAAAAAAGTACAAAACCAAAAACATCTCTGGCTTTGTGTTCCACCCAAAACACTCCCGTGTGCTCGTGTGGATGTGTGATTTTTAAAAAAAAAAGCAGCTACATCTCTTGGCCTTAGCAGTACCTCCTATTAACTGGGACCGTGTCACATTGGGTTGTATATGCGTACGATGGAGGTACTTCCTGTATGACTTGTAGTGCTCGTCCTCTGTTATTTTTCGAGAAGTGGGACCTCATGTTTGGAATTAAAACCACTGTGAGCAAAGGGCACCCAATGGCCCGATGCTGATGTCACCGTTTGGGCTTCTGAGATCACATTTTATTCAACTTTATTCCAAACGCACCAACATGGTTAATCTGTAATCAAAGTTTCATGACGTGGACCTCATCTTTTATTTTTTTAAAAATCTGTTTTAGCCTTAAAGGCATAAAAAGGGGCCTTATGGGAAAAAACTGAAAAAACTAAGCAGGCCTTGAGCTTCATATTCTTTTACGGAGCTGAAAGTGACATCCAAAAAGCCATTGGAAGCAGCTGGAGCGCGGGAGACCTACAGTTAAAGGTGGAGATGATGCTTAGACTACTCAGGTGTGACTGTAAAATAGCCCAGTGAGGAAATCAACCAGGTTAAAGACATCTGAAATATTCAGATATGGCAACGTTCATCGTTTTAAACAAGCAGTTTATTGTAAAGGCTTCAAACGTTCATATGGGTCTTGTTTCGTGAAAGGACGGAAGCTTTCATCCTTTCGTACACACCCCAGAGCTTAATCGGCATTTCTAGATTATCCTGCGAAAGAAGCAGATGTAGAAAGGTGCTCCTTCATTGATATTTTTATTGTACCACTGTAATAATGTGGTAACATTCTGAATACCATAGCATTACTCTGAAAAGGGTTTAGGACTACTATGGACATTCTGCAACGTTATAAGTCTCTTAAGGTTTTCTCTATCCTACTGTACACTCTGTAAATGCTCTGCCTGCATCCAAATAAACTCATAAACACTTTATCTGGTCGCTCCTATGCAAAAATAAATAACATACCGTATAATATGAAGATTTAAGCAATCAAGTCAGTGTCAGATAATGACAACCGGTTCCCAACAATCTCACGTACAGTGCCTTTTTTTATCAAATGGACCAAGAAAGAGAATCTCAAGTACACAAAGTTATTTGTTTTTGAAGCCCGTAATGCTGACAGATAAATCACTTACAAGTAAATATATAATCTGCAAATATAGTGTACACGGTACAAATATAAATGTTTTTAAAAGACACTTGACAATAGAAATGGTAATATCCTGCAGCTAGTAGCGTGAGGTTTTATATATTCGTGCACAAAGCTTTCTCTGACTTCTATATCTGATATAATGAGTTAAAAGCTTAGACATTATACTACTGTTTTTATTTCAAGTCCCTACTTAAGGTCGTACAGGCTTCCTTGAATACCATGGTGTGACTGTGTACACGTAAGCAAAAGCACAGTGGCCTGAGTTGAACACTGGTTCTAGTTTGTTAATGCAGTGCAGCAGCATAAATCTACAAAACAGGCTCAGGGAAGGGAGCTGCTGTCCCCTCAGACTCCCCTGCTACCTTATGTGGGACACGGTGTGTTGAAGGGGCCTGTATCTGCGCTCGGATGAGCTGCGCTCAGACGTTGGACTCTATAAACGAGCGTTTGGGTTTGATGGGGGCCATGTGCAGAGCCGGGTTGTCCCTGGTGAGGCTCGTCTGTCTGTGCCTGCCTTCGGGAAAGCGCAGTTGGGACGAGGAGGAGCCTCTGGCCTCCCGTTGGTGGGAGCGCTCCCCAAACTCCCTGCCTTGCTGCTGGCTTCCGGGGAGCTGCTCCTGGAACGAGGCGCGTTTGAACTCATTGTTAAGCCCTTGGAACTCCATGACCGACATACTGAAACTCTCCGCCCCTCCTCCTCCTCCTCCTGCTCCTTGGCCCTGTCGGCCCAGGCCTGCAGAGGTCTGCTGGCCTTGGACCCGCACCGATTTGTCCATGACCCCCATGAAGGGCCGCGGCTTCAGCTCCGGCTTGGCCTTGAAGCTGCCGCTGCTCTTGATGGGGCAGGGGCCGTCGGGGGCCTGCTGCCTGCCTCCGTCCGACAGGTTCCCGCTGGAGGCCTGACTGGAGCTGGAGCCTCTGGAGCCCGCCGTTCCCCCCCCGCCGCCCTCCCTCCTCACGTCCATGCCGGACCCCAGGGCCAGAGCCAGGCCGTCGAGAGGCCCGGAGTGGGCGGACAGTCGGTCGGAGCCCCTGGAGAAGCTGGAGGAGCGCGGCTGGTACATGTGGAAATGGCCGGGCGGGGACGAGCTGTTGGGGGACATGGGGTGGAAGTGTTCGGTGGGGCTGTGCTCGCTGGCCGGGCCGGGCCCGATGTCGATCCCCGCCGGGGGCGCCGGCCTCAGGGAGGTGGAGATGTGGCGGCCGGGCAGAGGACTGGAGGGCCCGCACAGCGACAGGGGCCGGACCCCGACCCTGCCCCCCGACTGCAGGGAGTGGCAGTGGTGGTGAGTCCGGCCGCTCTGGCCCTGGCCCGGTCTGCCCACGGCCGGGACGGGCTCCGGCACGTCCACGAACAGCTGGGTCTGCGCGTACTCCTCCGGAGGGAAGCACGGCGACTGGTCCGCCAACCCGAAGGCGGCGCCCCCCGGGAGAGTCCTGTTGGGGCCGTAGGGGTTCAGGGGCCAGAACTTTGGACTTTTCCCGCAGTGCGGGGCCACCTCGTCCCCTTCCTCCTTCTCCTCCTCCCTGTCCACGTCCACCTGCTCCCCCGGGACCGGCCTCTCCAGACTTCCCTGTGAATAGACGTCTGCCTCCTCCTCCTCCGGGGGCTGATGGTGGTGGGCGTGGGGGTCCCTGCCGTAACCCTGCGCGGCGTTGTTGGCGCAGAACTTCTGGTGATGTTTGCATTCCTCCTCTACTCGCGACAGCAGGCGGCGGATCTCCCGGTTGGACGGGCAGAGTCGTGCTGCTTCGTGGAGGTCTGCCAGAGCTGCAGAGAACTGCCTGGGGAGGACAGGGGGAAAAAGGAACAAAGGAACTTTTAGAACAATTCTTACTTTACCGAGCCACGGAGGCGAAGCGTCCCAGCACACGGCCGATTCACTGTTCTGCTTTCAAACAATAATAATAATATATTTGTCATACCTGCTACTCCTCTTGGCTCGTGCTCTGGCGTAATAGGCTTCATAAGACCGGGGTTTGAGTTCCAGGGCTTTTGTGGCAAACTCCTCAGCTATGCCAAAGTCCTGTGTTTTTCACACAGAAGAGCACATTAGGTGCGGTTCATATATATATACATATATATGTATAAACTGTACCGCAGTTCCAAAATGAGGATGAAGTAGAGGGACACGTCCCTGAGAAGAGAGCTGAAATTTAGAGAGGCTTTTCCAGGAAAAGCAGTGTTTGTTTGCCGATTCGTTATATGGATCGGAAGATTGCAGCTTGTGTAATGAAACAGAACTCACACTGCGATCATTTTTATTGACCGGGTACAGAAAGACTGGAAGGGGAGGGGTGTGTGTGTGTGGGGGAGAAAAGATGGAAAGCTTCTTTGTATTTTCTCCCCATTTTTTTTACTGCTCTCTTCATCAATCTCAGGTGAATATTTGATGACGCCGACTCATTGTGTTTATGTCCTTGAAAGGGGGGTCAAAGTGTCGGCTTTGAATGCGAAATTGTGAACATTGCTGCTGAATGTTTAATGATGGGATCATTTACTCTCCCCGCTGACCCCGACTCCCCGCATTTCGCTATAAAAATGTGGCTTTGGCTGGCTCGCCTGCACGTCCACTGTAAATAACCCCGTGTGGAGCTGCAGAGAAAGAGCTCTCTGTGGCTCGCGCACCCCGGACTGCCGGAGTGAGCGACCTTATCACATCACATTATCCGCTCCATTATTCACTGGCAGCACTGACCCTAAGGATGGCATTTTTACACAGTCTGTGAGGACGTCTGTCGTCGGCGGGGTGGCTTCCAAACCTGGCTGCGGGCCACTCGCGTCCATCTCAACACTCACAGCTAACCCCCTTTTCCATTATGTCACCACCTACTTCCAGGTCTTACGCCGAGTTTCTGTTTACTGTAGCAGCGAGGCTTCAAATAGGATCTGAAAAGCGGCAGTACTTTTACAGTTGAAGCCAAAGTGCTGATGTTATGGCTTTATGTTGATGGGGATGAATTATATATCTTAAGGAAGCATCCACCTCGCCTGGCCAACCCTCCCGTCATCCCCTTGGCATCTCATAACCCCTTCCTATGTTAAATAGTGCATGAGCTGTTTGATACAGCTGTGGGGCTCACATTGGTTTTCCTACGACAGCGGGAGAGGTTCAGATAGAGGGAGACTCGTAGCTCTTTGAGCCCTTTCAGCTCATCTCCTTGCCCCTCGCGAGGCAGCTTCCTGAGGGCATACTGGTACCGCTGGCCCGCCTCTTTCATACGCCCCTTCTGAGAAAGACGGAAAAAAACAAAGAAAAAAAAAACAGCTTGGTTTTGATATCAGCAATCGACAGTTCCACACATCGATATATAGCTGTAAAATTCACGACAGGACACCTTGTATAAAATGTTCCCTTCCTCCATCAGCTTCTGCAGCAGGATGAGCAGAATGTCTGGTTTGGAGGAAGCCATGGCCCACGTAGCATGACCTGATAGGCAGGGCACAGGCACTCGTCTTAATATTGTCTGTCTCAGCTTGTCACTTTCGCTTCATGTCTTACACAAATCACGTACCTGATCGATCGTGTGGAGTCGTTTTGTTGCCTTTTGGTTGATGGAGGAGGATCGAAACAGAGGTGTGAAAAAAAGGAGTTAGAGAGGTGGATGTAGAACCGCAGGATATATATATAAAAAAAAAATGATACTGCAGTAAAACAGGCAGATATGAAATATGTATAGGCTGAACCACGTCAGACAAAAAGGCGAAATGCACTTTGATTCAGCTTCAATCTGAGGTTACAGCTTTCACAATGGTTTGTTGAGCCGATTTAGTACATTTGAAAACATTTTACAATTCTGACTTTAAACTTCCTCAATTTGAGGTTCGCTGCAGGCCTGCTTCGGCGGGTGTGGTGTTTATACCCGACTTGGATCCTTTCTTCAGGAGTGACGCCACCAGGGCTGGATTCTGGCAGCCAGCCGCTCGCTCTGAGCCCCTGGTACCATTGTTGTTTGCTCTCTCCACCACCGCTCCGTGCTCCACCAAGCTATGCACCTAACGACATAATTCATATTCAAATATAGGATCTTAGCGGTGACTTAGCTGTTTGATATGTGAGTCACGGGGTTGATTGCACGCCGAACGCTGTGCCACGTCGCACATATCACCAATACGGCTATTAGCCACTTAATTTCACAGATTTTAATCATCAGATAGTTTTGATTACGCTCCTGCTGATCAACCGAGTGGATGGGAGACTTGAGCTGAAGCCTTGTAACTCTGCATGATGTGTGAATGCTGCGGGGAAAATTATTTAATTACGATTTCTGCTATCCGCCTAAAGCAGCTTAATATTACAATCAAGTGAAGTATTATTTAGTTTTGCAAACGATTGTCTCGAAGCAGATGAAAAGCCATGAGGGTTACATTTTCAAAATGTGGCAGAAAAATTGTTTTCACAATCGACCTGATGAAATCTTAACGGAACGAAACCCACTGTATCTGCGTCTCCATTAAGGGCGGCGAGGTCGAGGGGAGTCCGCCCCTGCTTGTCCGGCTGGTTGAGGTCGGCCCCGGCCTCCAGCAGGAGCTGCACGGCGGCCTTCTGGCCCTTCATGCAGGCCCAGCCGAGTGCGGTCAGACCCTCCTGGTCAGCAGGGGACAGAGAGGCACCTGGGAGCACAGAAGGACACCGACACTGCTCTTTCCCCCCAGGTCTTCAGCATTCGGGAATCTGACTCGAACATCGATGCGAAAACGTCTTACTCTTTGCCAGCAGCAGCTCGACGGTGCCGGCGTGGCCCTCGGAGGCGGCCAGCATCAGGGCGGTGCGGCCCTGTTTGTCGCTGACCCCGACGTCCGCCCCGTGCTTCACCAGCAGCTCCGCAACCTGGGACAAAGACGGAGAGTCATCCAGGGGGAAACGGACCCCGACCCGGACGGGTAACGGGCGTCCTCACCTGCGCGTGGCCGTGTTTGGCGGCGCTGAGCAGCGGCACCATCCCCCTGCGGTTGGGTATCTCCAGCCCGGCCCCCCGCTCCAGGAGGAACACGCACATCTCCAGCCTCCCCCTCCCCGCCGCCGCGCTCAGCACTGACAGAGGGGGGTCGGCACAGAGATGAGACGGCCAGGCAGAGAAGAGCACGTAATTGACGTATTTTGGAGACGGTTGGAAGCAGAAGTGAGAAACAATGGGAAATTAGGCTTATGTTGCAGATGTTCATGTTTCATCTGATGCTTTCAGTTTATCATTCAAATATAGATATCTGACAAGCACTCGGGATCAGACACCTCAGAAACCTGCACTGTCTCTGTCCAAAAAAATGAGCGAAAAAACACACTCTTACAAAAACTAATCTTTACACAACGAGAGGACCCCCACACCCTGAACAAACCCATGTTATTTTGACAAACGACAGTCTTTTTTTGAGTTCCAAAGTTAATTCAGAAGCCGTGGATTAAGGCAGAGTATTGATGCCTTTAACCTCCGAGTAAATGACATTATGTTTCATGTGTCCACACGCCTCAGTAGACAAATCTATTATACAAAACTGCTTTTAAGAAGAGCCGCTTTCATATTAGACAAAGAACAAACATGAAACATTCCCTTTTGCTTTGAATGAATATTCGCGCAGCTGCACTAAATGTCTGCAGGGTTATTGAAGCTGGCGCTTTAAATACACAAGTGAAAATATTCTCATTAAAGAGAATATTTTAAAACTGTCTTGGGTAATTGTTATCCAAAGAGAATTTGAAATGTCTGGTTCAGTCAGCAGACTTCAATGTATCCTTGAATGACTCTGTGGTACATTAAAGGATAAATATCAAATAAAATCAGAGCAGTGTACCCACAGAGGTGAACGTCTGAGTGGATATTTCATGCTCCCAATTTTTTTTTCTATCTCGCGACTGCAGGGGACTGTGTAATAGAATTACACTGTAATGGTACTGTAGGCAGAGATGCAGGCTTCAGCCGACATGCTCTCAGGAAATGGACCTAACAGAATTCTACAAGCTTTAATACCACGTCTGTGATCGAGGTAAAAGTATAACAATTGAATAACGTTGGCTTTATAGATGCTACCAGTGTGAGCAGACGTGATATAGTGTGTGGGTTACGCGATGCATCATTTCAGATAAAAGAAAAATAAAATACAGTATGGACCAGAGCATCCTGAAATCATAATACTGAACCCAGTTAAGGTGGATGTTCTGCATTATTCCTTAGCCTGCGGCCTCTTCACGTACATCTAAGCTGAATTATAAATTCAGTCCACAGAGCTTGAAAGTGCCTGACACAGAACCCGAGCCCGTGGCCGTGACTACAGAAGCGCATTAATAGACAGAAAGAGGTGAGAAAGATAAATTCATGTGACTGATAGGAGCAATGCACCCGTTTCTCCCCAGAGTGAGTCGTGAGCGTCCATCTGTACTGCCAGCTGCTCATCTTTCAAGTCCAGCAAGCTTTTCACCACCTGCAGAAAAACACAATCTTACAGTCTTCTCCTACCAGCTTGCTGTGCGGAAATGCACAAATTCACCCCTAGACTTTAATTCCATAAAATAACAGGATCTGAGAGGTCCTAAGCAACGGCATACGGTGGGTACCATGCTTTACGTAAAGATGAATTTCAGCAGAATTAGGGATATTTTCGATCTTCTCATACCTGCATGTGTCCCACACTGGCCGCGGCGGTGACGGCCTGCTGGGCCGCCTGTGCTTTCCCGGGGACCGCTTCGTTCGCGGCGTGCTGCTTCGGGTCGGCGGGGATCTCGGATCCCCAATCCTGGCCCAGCAAGATGTTGACGATTTCCGCGTGGCCCTTCAGCCCAGCATGGACCAGCGCGCACTGGCCACTCTTATCAGCATGGCCCACCTTGCACGGGGGGGAGGAAGACACAAAGACTTAAAGCTCAGGTTCTGCCCTAGATTATGTCATCTGTCTCCCAGAATAGGGCCTGAAACTGTGGCCAATTTAAAACCAAGGCGGCATTTTGGTAGAGTCACATTCGAAACGTGCCTTCATCAATAAGAATTATGAAACCCACAGTTTTCACTTTTGGCACTGACCTCGGCTCCTTTCTTGCAGAGCAGGCTGACGATGTCGGTGTGTCCGGCAGCGGCCGCCAGGCACAGCGGCGTCATGCCACTGTCGGTGGTCCCGTCCACGGGAGCGCCCACCTCGAGCAGCAGAGCTACCATCTCCATGTGGCCCAGGTAGGCGTGGACGGCCAGGATGGGAGCGTGTCCGATCACCTCCGTAGTCCAGGTTACGCTCGCACCGCCCAGCATCAGCAAACGACTCACCTGCAGAAATTCGAAAAGGATAGGATGGTACATCTTTGTCTCAAAGATAACAGGCCTTTTTTAACAAGCGCTGCGGTGCGTCACCTTGATGTTGGGTGTGTAGAGGTTCCTGAGGGAGGCCAGAGCGGCCGACAGACTGTCTGTGCTGCAGTTTACCCACATAGCCTGAAGAACACTGGAGGACACACCAGTCTTCTTGCTCAGACCCTGCGAGTGTGCGAGAGGGACACAGAGGGACAAACACAGAAAAAGAACCGCTCAGATCCGTGGTGCAGAATTTGAATTGCGTCCGAGAAATCACATGGTCCGTACGGTGTCTAAGCCAATGCACGTAGACAGCACAGTGACAACTTTGTGAGTTTCTCAGTGACTACAGTACAAAAGTTAGCTGCTGTTCGTGTAAAGAGAGTAATTAGCGGCTAATAATTAAGACATAAACCTTCTGATTTGTTTGGAAAATGGAAATGCAGGCTACAGCACATTGCTTGTGTTTGAAATCAGTGGCTCTGACAGAAAAAACAAACCTTGAAGAGGACAAAAACACAACTTTTACCTGAGTCAGGTAATTTATTTCTCCACTGTGCGATTTGTTTTACAAGAGGCAAGGTTTTTGCCTCCGTTTTGAAGAAGTCTAAAATCACCTTTACAAAAAAAAAAAAACTTTTTTATTGCAATATTTCCTCTTACCTTGAAAATGTGAGCTTTGAGAATGTGGTGTCCCAGTTCCATGGTCTGCTGGCGGTTAAGTTTCCCCTCCTGTCTGGAGAACATGAATGCCAGGAGAGCATGGCCACTCCTGTAGGAACGTGTGCAACCGTCATTCAATCAGAAATACCACAACACCACGTTTTTTCTTATACCACAACAGATGCCATTGGAACTGACTTGTAGCCTCACCTTGGGTCACAGAGAAAATCGTTGCTTTCTCCATCTGCCCTCCAAACTAGCCACTCTCTAAAGGAGGGATGACACAGCATCCGTGTGCCATCCCTGCGTTTGATCTATGGGTGCACACCATAAAATGGGATATTTCATTTTAAGGTAGTAATAACTGATTTGTTCGTAGGTTTAGGAATTTATTCACTTTAAAGCGTTATAGACAGCCTAATTTATCATGGATTTGTCCGTGAGTCTTACCATGAATTCAGCCAGACTGTCTAGTCTCTGCTGGAAGTCCTTCCACTCCAGCTCCCCCTTCACACTGCCTGCATTCAGTGCCCTGAACATTTGTTCATCAGTCAGTGGGTGCAGAGACGCTAGTGCCACATTTAGCACCGGAAGGACCCGCTCAAAGACGTCCTTTTCCGGAAAGCTCGCACGGCACATCAGCAGATACACCTAAAAGACAGTGCATGTCACGAGAGCTGTACTGACTGAATCAAATATTCAGAAACTGTCACTTTAATCTATTCCTGCAGCTTTTTGTATCCAAATTCCAAGATTCAGGTGCTTTAAATAGAGCTTACCCATCGAGTCACATTAGATTTGGAAAGTTTTCCATGCCAGGTGGTTTGTCTAACATGTTCATGTTTATCACTAATTAGATCATCTGAACTAAAAAAGAAAAAAAGAAAAATCATCCACTACAAACAGAAGCTCGCCAGTGAGCTGGCCTCCATTTTCCACCATAATTTGATTTGTTGTCTCATCTTACAACATACCCTGGTTTTATTGTCTTTAGAATACTACGAACAACATGGTAAGTTAACATGGAATTTCCTGATGGAAACATCATTGTAAAGATGTAAAAGATTCTAAAAGATGCAATCATAAAATGTAATGAATTAATTATGATTGATATAAACCTTTTAAAATGGGGATTTGAAGGCTTTTTCGTGCTTTATGCATTGGATATTAGAGGGCAAAGAGTTCCATAAGATGAAACTTCTGAATGTGAAACAGTCACAACTACAGCTACTATTAGAGAGAAAAGAGTCAAGTTACATGTTTACACTGTCCCAGATTTGACTGGATTGCTGTAGGTGCTTGAGACTTTTCAGTAAGAATCCAACCTGTCCCTCTCCATGCTGCAGACCAACACTGCTTTGACACGCTTGTGTGCATGCTTTCCACATTCCTTTTGTATTTACTAAATCCTTACATTGTTAAGTCCTAGTTTCCCAACAGTAACGACTGGGTAAAAGTCAGAATCCTCCTGCCATTCCCTGTGGTTACTGTTGGCTATTTCTGGCACAGTGTGTGAAGTTTTTATCTTGTATTGTTCTGAGCAGGCTGTGGGAATAATTGTTGTCTGCTTTGTGATAAACAAGACTGGACAACAGCTCGGTGCCTGTGAGCCTTATGTGTAGACAACATGGACACTGATTACTTCAGCCTCAGGTCATTTCACATGCATCCATGCAGCTCATCAGTATGACTGACAGTCATTCAGTATTAGACCACAATTTGAACAGATGAGGAGGACTGGGTTTGGTCCACACACACATCTGTTAGTGCACCCACCCTAATTCTGAGGATTCCTTTATCAGGAAATAATATCAAAAGCAAAAAAAAAGATGTATTCCTTATCAGATCCTCAAATTAGATAAATGCAACCTCAGAAGAACAAGGTACTACACCTTTTAATTAAAAAAGATCAAACGAATATGCAGAAATGTTGTATGAAGAAATAAGTAAGCCAGCAACTCAGAGCTTGTACAACCACCTTTGGCAACAAAATCATCACAAAATGTTGGAGTCATCACAAACTTTCTGATTCTGATGTGTGGGATCATTGTCCCGTTGCATGGACAATTTTCAGGAAAGCTAAATGTCGTGCCATGCTCGAATTCTAAATGTCCCCATTTCCTTTTCCAGAAGCTCAAGAGGTTTAAACACAACTTGACAAATATGGCACCTGGACAGATTTGACCTTTCTAGACTTTGTTGTCGTGAAAATGGTGAACATTTAACATGCCAACTCAGGCCTCTTTAGTCTGAGACGGTTTTAACACAGTCTGACTTTTGGGCAAACTTTGCAGGAGGCCAAACAGCTGGAAGATTAGCAACTTCCCTGAGTGTTTTCCAGCTGTGAGTAATTTGTCTTTATGTACAATTATCAAAATTTGCTTTGCTAAAATTGTTGCTGATGTCTTTCCTCCTTGACATTGTTTTAACACACACCTTTGTGCATAAAACAAGAAAAGCAAACACCTTATTTTTTTGTTTAAAAAAATGACAAAACATGAAATGTGTTTAACCAACATGTATCAGGTCTTGTTTTTTTTATCAACACTTGATATGAACCATATTAGCTTTTGTTCTGATGCCAAACTCTAACCTCTCCTCTCCTTTCTCTATGACTGTATCTCACTTCTGTCAGTGTAACGTTTAGGTACCACTGGCACCTCCACAACACAAACACAGATGTCTGACCTCTGACAGAGACACAGGGACAACTAGATAGTTTCCTCCTTTTAGAGCCAGGTGACCTTTATGGAACAGATCCAGCGTCAGCTGCAGGTAGAGGATGGAGCCGTGGCTGCGTGTTGACAGGTGGCTGTTGAACTTGCTGAGAAGCAGGGGATCGGGAGCAGAGCCCGTTGGCGTGGTGACATTAGCGGCGACCTGGCTGCTGCTGCTGACCCGGTGATGGATGTAATCGCTCAGGTCGGCTCCCAAATCACTGCTGTCTGGCAGGATATCCAGAGAAATGCCAGAGAAAGGAAGAAGGGTGGTGATTTCCTGCAAAAGAGAAGGGGGAAAGCAGACGGTGGCACAAGCACCTCAGCGGAGGGGGACCGTTGATGCATTTGCTGAGGACAAATTAAAAACATCAAAACTGGGACCTATTCCTCAGACGCTGTTGCCTCTGACTCAGCACAGCCATGGGATACAGTACAGTAAATAGTGTGACAATGACTCAGACTCCGACATTGCTCACAGGCATCTCTCAGATTCACATTTCAGCTCCTCTCTTGCTATCTTAACTGCTCAACACCGGCCAAAACCAGCTATGATGATCAAAAAAAAAAAAACGTTACTCAGTCTGTGTGTGCTTAGTTCATCATTAACGAAGGCTGACATTTTGGTTCAATGATAAGCAGCGGAATTGTGGTCACAGACAGCTCTCAACTTAACCCTCTCCTCACAACACAACACTGAATATCCAGATTATTACGAGAGAATCATCACCTCCTGTGAAATCATAAGGGACACGAGGATAATGATCCAGTCGAGACCCAGAGGTGATGAAAACGGTGGCTTTGCTAATTATCTTTTAAAAAAACCTAAGAAATAGATTTTTTTTTAAAATTGAACTCTGGTGCATCATGAGAAAAACCAAATCCCCCAAATTTGAACGGTGTACTTCTAAATGCTAATCCAATTATGTAAGTGACTGGCAGGCTGTCAAGCTCCAGACTTCCAGCAGACTCCCGAGAGTATTAGCGACCATTCATGGTGTAATCCCTGCAGCATTTGGAGGCTTGGCTTTGGCGCTGGACAGATGCGTCTGCTGTTTGGTGAGATTACCAAAATACATCAGACTGGAGTGAGTGAATGGTGCCAAACGCAGCTCTGTTCAACACAGAACAGCAAAAGCAAACCATGCACTGTGCACTGGGGAATAAGAAAAAAATAAAAAAACCTGACTTGGAAAAAGTAGAAAATGTGAATTTAGCAGTTGCTTAATTGGCCCTTTCTCCCCCCAGACTTTGAGACATCTTTTTATATCTCAGAAAGATGTCAGGTGTTCATTGGGCTCTCCAGGTTTGCTGTGTGGTCAAAAACAAGTGATGCAACAGAAAGTCAACTGTGAAAGGGCTCATCCATACTGTTGCAAAACAATAAGAATTAGCTAAATACGTCTGGATAGGTGTAATGAAACAGGCTACCGAGGATTTCGTAAGGAACTTCAGGAACTGTCACAGGCTACATGAACCCCGTGAGCAGCTAGCATTGGACTGTTGATGTTATTAGTCCTAAACTTTGGAGCTCTAAGTGGGACATCGGATAAAGGAAAGAAACAGATGTTGGAATCAGGGTAGGAGGTTAAAAAAATGTGACAGGGCTTAAATAGAAGCATGATGCACACATGACCTAAAACCAAAACAATTTGGTGTTTTCACTTAAAGTAAGCTCATTTTTTGGGGGACTTTGGGATGAAATCCCAGCATGCAGATTGGAAATATTTGAATAAAGAATACTAAGCATGCACTGTACTTGGTTTCTGTGCCACCTGCTCAGCGTGCCCGGGTGTGCTGTGTTTCTCTGCTGTTGGAATAAACAGTGACTTACCACCAGGCCCGTCCTCACTGTGACCACCAGTTTCAGCCACAGAGGAAATTTAGAGACGATTTTGGTGATGAAGGTTGCTATGGTGTCCCCGTAATCCGGTTTATGGAACTCTGCTTCATTAAGGCTGTCGACCAGTATGATGTAGTCCTCTTCAGGTAGCTTACGCTCTGAATTCATGATGTGGAGAGGAAACGGAGCATGAGGAACAATCAAATGACACAAACTACAAACTGATGAAGGCCTTTCACAGACATTGGTTCATCTTTTTAGTCATCAACAGGATATTTTAAGGAAAGCGCAAATTCTTATATTCTTCTATAGACTATGCTCATATGAGAGACGCCAGAGGCAGCTGTTAGCTATTGACTGGAAAGAGGATGTATCCGTCCCATTTTACATTATCTAAGCTATCAAACCATATCAGCAAGGCTGTGCGGACACGACAACTCTAGCCCACTCACGTAAGGGGCTCTCTGTGTTTTTTCTGACCTCTTTGATAGAGATGAAGTAGACAAAACACTCCTCTGCTCAGAATGTAGGCCATAAAAATGCATCCATCTCGCTGATTAACTGTATCGTGACACACTGAGCTGGCAAATCGGCTCATAACACCCAGGGCCACTCCCTAGTACTTTGTGACCTTGAAATCTTGGGGGATGTTGATGATTCACAAAGGCAAATTTAGTGCTCATCATTTATCTGTGTAAACGACCACACATCTCTAGTCTTCCAAATCATTGACCTTAACTAGGAAATATTATCTATGAGCCCATCATTAAGTCATTAAGGAGCTATTTCAGATAGGAGACGGAAGCAGGCTCCCTAAATGTGAATGGAGGAAGTAGAAGGTTTTCTACCTTAAACCTGCTCCTATTTTAAAACTGAAGGAGCTCTTTAAATCTGAATATTAGATTTGTGTCCAGGTGTGAGTGTGTATGTAGACATTACCCTTGCGCAAGCTGGCGATGGGCTCCAAGACCCCTTTTCGGAAGGCAGCGAGGGGATCTTGAACACACGAACGCAAACTGAGTACGTTTTGGAGGTGATGTTCTTGTGCCAGCAGCTCCCTGTAAGGAGCGAGCTGGGGTGCTCTGGTTAGCAGGGCGGCGACACTGTGGACAAACTCTGGTACCAGGCAGGTGTAGGTGTTGTCAGCCTGGCAGAAATGGTAGGCTACCACCTGGCAGGAGAAAAAAGAAGGCTAATAAAAATCACGGTGCCACGTTCGGCTGCTTTCTGTCGGCTTCTTTCACAGCAAATGTCTTTACTTGGTTTGAAACAAAGCCTGTGTGATAATTAATGCTGGAAAAATACAGTAAAAATAGATACGAGTTGTGGCTGTGGGAATAAACAAAGAATTTCATGGGGTCAGGAAATGTGATTGCTGAATAAACAACAGGGGTTGGAAAGGAGCAATTTAGAACGAATCACATATGCTTTATTATCACACCGTGAGGTCAAAACACAAGCAGGCAAAATGCCACTGTGGATAGACATGCTGGATAAATGATTATATTTAGAATTGTTACTTTCCTTTATTTCCTGTAGTTGGGTTGTAAAGATTTTGATCACCCTAAACCTTGGCACAACATTTGAACTCCTGTCAGCACAGTCCAGATCATAAGAACCAATATTACTTCCAAACTTAGAAACTTAGTTTTTTTTAGATCCAACTCAAAGCCTTTGAACCTGTTACTGCCCCTTGAAATTTGTTAGCTACGCCACAGATTTGATCCACATTCGCACACCATTGGATTTTTTTAACTGTTCTACAGATGTTCTACATAGTGGTTTCTTGGACCGACAAAATTCACTTTGGATTTCTTGCTGAATCCTGAAATCTGAATCCTAAGTGACACCTCTGGATAATCAACGACATATGAAGGCTCAGCAAGTATTCTGGAGCATTCGCCACTGATGTGCAAAGGATTCGTGCTTCATCTCCACAACTGTTGATATGTACAATTGCATGGAGCCTTTGTAGCATCGCAAGACAAAGCCTCATCTGCCACGCTCAGCGCACTGTGCGGGGAACACAATGATTTCTGCTGCAGAAGGTCTGCAGCGCGCACTGCCTCCTCCACGCTCTGGACACCCTCTTGCACGCAACTCCTCCTTCACATCTCTATCAGAAAGCCTGTAATATGATGTGTTTGTGTGAACATCAGATGGGGGAAAAGGCTAGATCAAATTGTTCTCTTAAACATCTCAGGTACTTATCAGCTTTAAAAATAGATCAATGCTTCCACTCCCTATTTACATGAGTAAGACTCATCATTTTGTTTGCTTGTTTGTTTTTTTCTATTCTACTTTAATCTTTTCAAAATGCACCTACATGCACTGACTTTACCATGTCACAATCCTTCGATGTTAAAACATACTTGGCAATCAAAACCGGTTCTGATTCTCATTGTTTTGTATGATTTTAGTCCGTATTATCTCATTAAAATATTCAGGCACTTAAAGGACACTGATTACACAATTTGTACTTTTGGACCCATTTATATCATGGTTACTATTTAGCTGATTGAATAAAAGGTTTTATTTCGACATCAAATGTCTCTAAAGATCCACAAGACCATTTAAAAATATTCTTGCACTTCCCTATGTACGAGTTACACCAGTTTGAAAACAGCTGCAGTTGGTGGATAGATATAAAAACAAGTTGTGGAATTTTCTACAATCCCAGAATCTTATTTTGATGTCGTTGGATTATTCTATAGTAGTGACAGACGTATAGCTAGGTCTGGTTATTCAAGTCTATTAAGGTTTCAGAATAGCTAATCTCTGAGCCAAATCAATGTCTGTTAGAAAGGGAGAGGTGGCATGGTGTGAAACACACACATGAAACAGATCACACCTCTGATTTCATAGCACCTGCATGGTAACTGAAAAGCAAGATCCGGGGCAGCATCACGATTGCTTCATTTGGAGCAAGGGTCTCATAAAGATATTAGCTGTTTTCTGGCAAACTGGGTGGCCTATCAGCTGGTTTGAGAGGGAACCACAATAGAGCAAAAATGCAGATTTGACCTCCTTAACCCATAGGAGCCTGGACCCATTTTTCCCTAAAGAGAAATGAAAGGGGATAGAGAATTGACCATATGTACCCATTTATCACATTTAAAAGAATAAATAAATAAATAAAATTCAGGTACCAACAGAAGACATCAAAGATCTTTGATTTCCAGAAGTTCTCTAGACCATGGTTTAATTGGCCACATTAATAAATGTATTTTAGTTTGAATAGGTTGTTACACCTGTGT